ACAGTAAATGGCTCTGCTTTCCTTTTGGCTTTCTTTTTTCTCTTGAGTATATAACAGTCATCACTTCTGTTGTCTTTGGTTCTGCCTCCAACAGCAGCATTCTCACCCTTTCCCATTTCTTTTCAGTATAGTGTGGGCTGGAAATGACGATAAAGCCCAGTTATCAGTCAGAGTGCTTCTCTGAAGATTTATTATTCCTGACAGCTGTGATTTTATGTGACCACAACTCCTTCACTCAATCTTTAAAGGACTTTCAACCTCACCTCGGATAATCCTAGTCATGGGAATTGCTAGATGGATAATGTATATCCTTTCCCTCTGCTATATTAGGAATGTTTCTGAGCCTTTCCAGTTTTTTTTTTCCTTTTTGGTAAAATCCTACTTGAGTAAGGAAGAAAGGACAGAGAACTAAGATATTAGAATTTGTCCTAGACCTTACAACTATGGAGGAAGAGATGAACCATAACATTTTCTGTCAATGATTCATCTTTGGCGAAATATTTTTTTCTGAAAAGTATCTGAGATTTCAATGAGATGGAAGGGCTGTCCTTTGAAGCTATTCTGTTAGAATATTCTGTTAAGTTTGGTATCCCAAACTTAATTGAACATCAAATAATTTGGGACTGACCTATAAAGGATAGTAAGGACTCTTAAAAGTATTAAATACCCTAGCTTAAACAGAGAAACATAAACATCTCAGTATATTAAACCTTTTTAAATACAATTACAATAGAAGTTTTTTTGTGAAATTTAGATGATTTCATTTTTAATATTAGAGAAAACAATGTTGCTAGCACCCATCTTTTCTCACAGAACCCTTCCCACACTTGTTGTAACCCCAGGAACCCACAGTACACATTATGAAATACTGTACAGTTATCCCTTCCACGTTGCAGGGGATCATGGCACCCCTGCAACCTAGAATATTATGTAAAATTTTTTGGACCTCTCGTGAAGAAATCTTTTTTTTTCTTTTTCTTTCACTTTGTCTTTCATGGGGTGTTTATAGTACCTTGATGTAAAATTTGGGTTAAGTACTTGGTCACAGGTTCTTTGTTGCCTGCCGTCCTTTGTGTATTTTCTGCGGCTTCTGAAAAGCTCCTCAAAATTACTCATTTAATTTCTTACGCTAACTCACTATATATCAAAACTGCAATAGGGAAAGTCGCGATGTGGAGGGGATAACTGTATTTGGAGATTATATATCTGGGATCATCAGGAAGTAGAAAGCAAGGTTAGAAAAAAAAAACTCTAAAAATGGCTGCTGTAGGGGCTACGAAGCCAGAAAGAGGTTCAAGTTTTTATGCAAATATATAAAGGAAACCAGGTGATTATTGTGCAGATATCAGAATCAGGAAATAATTAAGACTATTTATTAAGTCTTAGCTATGTGCCAAATATCATGCTAAGAAAGCAATGGGGATGCCAAAACAAAAATGAAACTGCTGCTCCCAAGAAGCCTCCATTCTGTAGGTGAGATGATATTTACATATATTTGCTTATTCAGAATCATTACACAATAACCACAAGTTTACGAAAGGAGGCTTAGTTCTAGCAGTTGTAGGAATAAGGAAAGGATTCAGGTAGAAGGTAGTTTGTCAGATGAGTTGTGAAGAATGTAAAGGATTTTAGGAAGCAAAGAGAAAATGCATTCTTGTCATGGGGGACAATTAGGACAGCAACTTTTGGAGAGAAGATAGTGCCAGAGAGAGGCTTCCTTGAAGTAAATGGAGTGTAGTGTTCTCGACCCAAAGGAAAAAAATAGCGGGTCTCTTGAGCACAAAATTAGTTACATCGACAAGGGAGGTTGTAAATTTATCAAAGTGGCCTAGTGAGAGACATCCTAGTAGATGCACAATGCCCATTTGTCCTTGAAGCTTCTGGGTTTTCCAGTTGCATCGGGCTTTTCTTCTATCTAGAAAAGACAGAGCAAAATAAGCCTCCTTCCTCATGGAGTGTGTGCAAATTCAGAACTTGAGGATTATTGGGTGGTGAGCTGTGTTGTCTCATGATATAAACTGCTGAGAAGAATTGCAGGCAGAGAGGATGTCATGAGTCCTAGAATCAGTAATGTTCTAGGGAATGTTTGATGACTGGCTCTAAAAATAAATGTACACGAAATGCTTTTAAGTTTAATCAACATTATTAACATTTTCCCCATAACTTTCTTAAGTTCAGATGATCGACAAAACAAATTAAGTCCTGATTTGTAGAATTTGCTGATTTCCATCATGTTAACACTGAAAATCCAACATTTGGCTGCTATCAGCTGGTGCGGACTGGCTTTAGCAGACCCCTGCAAAATAATGTGATACCATGATCTCCCACCTTACTGGTTTAGATACACGAGACTAGACCTAGACTCTGAAGTTTGAGATAAAATTCTATTAGGTGATCTAGTTATTTCAAGCCCAGTAGAGTGAGAAAGATTCAGGGAAGAGAAGGAAAAGGAAGCTTTGTCCTGAACTTGTTTGGATCGGCCAGTGTACAGTACTCTGCTATACAATAGGTGCACTATTACCCATAAGGCTGGAATCTGCACATGGCTAGCTCACTGCCCAGATTAATGGAAGCAAAGTAGTTTTTTCACTTGTCCTTCCCCTCCCATACCAGATAACTTTCCCAAAGCCCTTGGGTGTTGGAAACCATCTCCACAGAATCCAGACCTTCTTACCATACATGTGAGGTGGAGAAATGACTGACTGTTGAGGGCCTATAGAGCAATATTATGAAGGTGACTTTGACCTGCCATTTAGAAGAGCTAGAATTAGAGGAAAATGGAGTAGTGCATTTTCTTGTCATTGATGAGATACTTCAGAAGACTTTTAAATCCTAAAATAATAATTAAATTGTTAAGAAGAACTTATAAACATTGTGTGATGATCAGCTATGATAGACTTAGCTCTTCTCATCAATATAATAAGCCAAGACAATTCCAAAAGACTCATGATGGAAAATGCTATCTACATCCAGAGAAAGAACTATGGATCTGAATACAGATACAAAAATACTATTTTCACTTTTTTTGTTTTTTTCCTTCCTTGTACTTTTTCCCTTTTATTCTTCTTTCACAACATGACTAATGTGGAAATATGTTTAACATCAATGTACATGTATAACTTGTAAGATATTGCTTGCTGTCTTGGGGAGGGGGGAGGTGAGGGAGGGAGAAAAATTTGGAACTCAAAATCTTACAAAAATGAATGTTGAAAACTATCTTTACATGTAGTTGGAAAACAGTAAAATACTATTAAATAAAATACTATTAAATTGAAAGAAAAAGCACTTCCAAGTAAAATTGCAGAACAAAAATGTTTTCCATTGTAGAAGTGTTATGCTATTTTTAGAAATGTTTTCCCACCATAAATACTGAGGGAAGCCCTATTTTGGAACAATCTGGATGAAAGAGCAGTGGAATAAGAGTCAGGACAGCTCGGTTTTTGTTCTAGTTCGGATAGGGAGTCTGGGCCTTTTCCGTCCTGTGCAAATGGTTTAGACAACATGCTCACTAAGGATCTTCCCAGCCTTGATAATTTGTGGGTCTTTGAGAATGGAGTTTCATTTGATTCCGATTCAAGTCAGCCTCAATTTCAATTACTCGAATGCTTCTTCCTCTGTGACTTTAGGTAAGTCATTTCTAATGACCATTTCTTCTCCATAGAAAGGAATTAAATGACAGAATCACTAAAGTCCCTTTCAGTTCTATCATGCTATTTTGAACTTTTTTTGTTGTGGGTGGTGGTGGTGATTGAAAGCCCTTTCAGCCCACTTCCCCTCAAAATCGTTTTCTGTAAGGGTTTTCAATTATCCCTTTTCCCCAGTAATCAGGCTTTTCATATTACAAATATGAAAAAATCACTGCCCTGGGCTTCAAATGAGATAGTAATTGTAAAGTGCTTAGCACAAGTGCCTGCCACAAAGTAAGTGCTATATAAACGTTAGCTATCATTAGCTGTTTTACCTAGGTGTTAAGAATAATAATTTATAATAAGACACAACCAAATGGCCAGCTTCCTTTGGTTGGGAGCAGGAAAGCAGCCTTTTCACTCACTGCTTTGGTTACTCCTTCATGGTCTTTGCATACTGTCACAGGATAGTGACCCCTCTGCTCAAAACTGAGAATGCCCTATATGCTGCTTTCTTGGGAAGCTTGTAGTGCCTGCCCCAGGTGCAAAAGTACCCAGCTGTCACTCTAAGAAGGGTGAAAGTCTGCATGCCTCCTCTTTTTTTAAAGCTCGCTAATACTGTCAGAATTTTTTTTTCCGTACCTAAGAGACAAACACCTTTCTCCCAAACCACTATGCTTTGCAGAATTTGGACACTACCAAGGATCACATTATTTTGCTAAAGATATTCAGAACTGTTTTATTCATAGCATTGCTAAAGAAAGTTTATTAATTCGCAAAAAAGGGGGTGGGTCTATGCTGGACTCAAGGAACTGTAAACTGTTTTCCAGTTTTAGTAATCTGTAGATCTATGAAAATTAGGTAATTTGTTGAAGTTCAAATTGATAAACACATTGGATTAGATTGCTAATCTATCTCACAAATAGCAAACCTTAATAAAATATATCGAATTATGATTACCTAAGAAGAGGATATGACTATATTTTTGTTTTGTTGATATGAATTAACACTGGCAGAGACGCTATTGTAAGTTTATTAGTATTCTGCTAACTAACCAACTTGTAGAAACGCCCAACGTAATTGTAAAACATAGTCATAGGACAACGGGGTACTTGTGAAAAGCAAACATTTGGTAGTAAATTCTGAAAGTGTATGACTAAACTTTATGCAGATACAACAGATCATTGTATCAGATTTGGTAGGATGAAGACTTTACATTTACCATTTGCACAGATACTAAAAGGCAAAATATCTTTTAAATGTCTGGTAAAATTACTCTCAAAGTACTTTGGCAATCAGGTGTTTGTTTTAGGGAAGTGGATGGAAATGAGTGATGTTTAACCTGCAATTTCAAAGCATCATTTTCATATTCAATTCAATTAAATTCACAAACATTTATTAAGCACATATGATTTATCAGACTCTGTGTTAGGAACAGAAAGACAAAATGAAAATGACCTTGCCTTCAGGAAGCTTACATTGTATTGGGGGGAAGCAAGCACATAGTTAAGTAAATATAAATTACATGCAAGGTAGAAGACTTCTTTTGGTGGGGGAGAGGGCTAGAGAGAATATGATTACCACATTAGTCAACATTTCATTGTTACATAATTTCACAAGACAGAAACTTTACTGTAGAGAAACATAAGGGGTAGAGGACTAAAAGGTGTATTTATATAGAGTCTCCCCAAAGGAATAATAGGTATGATAATTCAGTTCTGGGCAGCAAGCAGAGAAATATAACAATAGTTTGGTAAGAGAAACATACATTTTGATATATAGTCCGCAGATCACCGATGCTTCATGGACACTGAGTGCATCATTTTAACTGGTGAAAGCTTGAGAAGGACCTTGTTGACAAACATTTCTAGATCACCTATGCTCTACAGGGCACTGCATCGTGGCAGTAGATACATGATGTCTGTGATACTCTGCCCAAGTCATAGCTATTTGCCAAGACATGCACCATAGTATCAAATATCTAGTTAATTAACAGCAAGGATTTCATTGAGGAACAAAATCTTAGTCATGCTGAAAACTGAAGGTTGGTTAAGAAATACCAGCAGATAAGAAGAGAATTAAGGTTACAAAGTGACTTATAGTTGGGATATCTGAGGTATTTTAGGGTAGACAGGAACAGCATTTGGTTTCATAGAAAATAGTCAAGAAAAGACTTTGGAATTGCTGCCTTGCTTCAAAAAACTGTATGTGTTTTTATGATGGCAGTGAAGATCTTCACATCACTTTGAAGGTGTGGGTAAATAAAATATAGAGGAAATATAATAAGGAAGATGGGATATTGGGCAAAATACCTTTGAGCATAACCTCTATATTGCTTAGGTTGAATAGTTGGTATATCGAATAAAAGTCAGCAGCCTACCTATTAAGGTTAAGGACCTTAAGGGATAAAAAGTTCATCCTGATGCAAGATAGAATAATGGTAAGTGCTTTAAACTAGAGAAATCATTTTTATACACAATAGTTAGGATATCAAATTTCCTTATACATGAGCTAAAATCTCAGCAGCTGCAACTACTTTGATCATTACATTGCAGGGAATCAGTAAAACACTTTAATTTGCTGCTTTTCCAACAGAACGAATAAAAAAAAGTTAAGTACACATGTTCCTAATTGCATAAATTTGCATGTGTGATGTGGTGTGTGTGTGTTTGTGTGTTTGAGAGAGAGAGACAGACAGACAGAGAGACAGAGACAGAGAAAGAAAGAGAGAGATTGAGATTGGTGAGTGGGTAATGAATGGCAAGGATGTTATGACAAGAAGACAAAGGCAAAAGTAAAAATATTCTGCTCTTATGTTTTATTAAAACCAGGGAATTTAAATTCTACTTCTCTTAGTCCGTGGTCCCTACCATTCTGAGCAGCCTTTTTCTTTTCTCTGTCATAACAGACAACACTTATCAGAGTTGCTATAATACTGAATCACAGTTATTCAGTGAAGAGTTACTGTACTGAACCTATATCAGATTGCATACCATCTTGGCGAAGGGAAAGGAGAGGGAGGAGGAAAAATTAATGTAAAAGTGAATGTTGAAAACTAAAAATAAATAAATAGAAAATAGTATACAGTTAGAAGCATCAACAATGTATTGTTCTGTTTTTGTTTGGTAAAAACCAGTTGGCTTGGCAAAGATTTACCAAAATAGTCCAGTTCATAGAATAAGTCTCCTTCATAAATTGTAACCAATTGCTGACAAAATAGGATTCCTACTTTTCTTTTTCCCTGTCAGTTTTGCCTTTGTCTTCCTTTTCTATCTGGTCCGTTTCAAGTTTCTCTCTGTCTTGCTCTATTCTACTATCCAAAAGTATGGAAGTGGGAGAAGGGCTCAAATCACCTACTTTCTCTAGAGGTGAGTTCTCATGAACTTTATCAAATACTATGTCTTCTTTAACAGTCAACTTCTCCCTATCTTCACCTTTGATATTATATGTACCTAATACATTTTGCCTTAAGTAGAAACGTCGAAAAGCACGCTGAATAACAAGAGCTGATACCTCCTCTTGTTTTCGTTTTAGAGTAGTTGTAACTGGTTCATAGGTAATTTGAAAAAGACATGATGACAGAAACTGCTTGCGCATCGGTAAATGGATGCAGTCAAATGCTTCACTTTCTCCTACAATGTACTTTGTAAAAGCAATTAAGACATCAATATAGAAAACTCGATCACCTCTGACTATGGGCAGATCCATGGCTACGAGCTGGACTTTGTTTGGCTTTGCTATAAGAAGAGGTGGATCCAATGAAGCAGCAAACTCAGAGAGCTGACTGTAGCCTATGAAATGAGTGGCACTGGGATCAAATTCCCTCCAAACCTCATAAAAATTGTTAAAAGCTTCCTCACTTAGTGGCTGAGCATTTTCTTTAGTCACAACACTGCAAAACTCCAGGATAACAACAGTGAACATGTTTACAAGAACAATAAAGGATATAATGATATAACTCACAAAATATAAAATCCCCAAAGAGGGATTTCCACAATCTCCTTTCACAGAACTTCCTGGGTGCACTTTTTCAGGGTCACAGTCTGGTGGTCCTGTGATAAGAATTGGTTCTAGCAGACCATCCCAACCAGCAAACGTGGTAATTTGGAAGAGGCAAAGCATGCTATTGCTAAAGGTTTCAAAGTTGAACATGTCGTTAATTCCAGCATCCTTTTTAACATAGGCAAAGTGGGACATTCCAATGATAGCATAGATAAACATGACTAGCAAGAGCAAAAGCACAATATTCAACAAAGCGGGAAGGGACAGCATCAGAGCATAGACTAGTAAACCTATGCCCTTTGCTCCTTTAATGAAATTCAGAAGTCGTCCGCATCTGATGAGACGGATCACCTGCACTTGGGCATAAGTCAGGAGATATCTGTCTGTCAAATGAGGTTGTAGTACAACTGTGGAAAAATATGAAAAAGAACATGTTTAAAAGTCCATCATCTTAAGCCCATTGCCTAGCCAAAACAAAACAAAACACAACAAAAAAAAACCCAACATCCATCAGGAGTTCATAAATCACACATTTGATCTTCTTCCCTTTCTTCTTTGAGAAGTAGCACAAGGCAATCTGCATAACCCAGTTTAGTTACCTTGGAAGAAGGTGGAATTCATAAATGCAAATGGAAATAGAGCATGCATACTTTTCTAAACCCTTCAAAGACCTTAAAGGGGGTAAAGATTGAAGAGGAGGAATACCATTCAGAGTGCTGGATCTCTGCTAAGAATAGAGCTACAGGTGTAAATAAGGGGGAGGAACACATCCAGAGACACAGATTTGACAGTGGGAAGGAATCTCCACTACAATTTACTCAACATATTGTAATCCAGACTCCTTGGAAAACTTCAAAAAAGGCGGAACTCCTTACAGCTCAAGACAACCCATTCTATTTTTGGATAGCTTTAATTTAAAAAAAAAAGTGGTGTGTGTGTGTGTGTGTGTGTGTGTGTGTGTGATATCAAGCTTAAATCTCTTTCTGCAACTTCATTCTATTACTCCTAATGGGGCCAAAAAGTACAAATCTAATCCTTCTTTTACACAATATGTCTTAAAATGGGTGAAGACAGCTGTCTCAAGTCTACTCGAGGCCAGACATGCCATGTTCCCTTAACTGATATTCTTATATTATGGGCTCAAAGTCCTTCATCATTGTGGTTGCCCCCTTCTAGACTTATGTATATATCTCTTAATATAATCCAAGATCGCAGTTATTTTGGATTCCACATCACACTGCTGACTCATATTGAACTTGTAGGCCACTAAAACCCTGACGTTTTTGGAACAATGGCTATTTATCACGCCTTCTTCACTTTATATTTATGAAATTATTTTTATTTTGTTTCTAGTCTAGTTAAAGATTTTATATTAGTTTACACTGAATTTCATATAATCCTGTGTGTTAGGTATCAATCTTCCTAGATTTGCGTTAACTGAAAGTTTGATAAGCATGCCATTTATGCCTTTATCCAAGTTATTGACAAAATATTAATTAGGATGGAGCCAAGCATAGATCCCTGGGGTACTCTCCTGCAGAATTCCTATCCTTCTGACAATGAATCATTAACAGTTCTAAGTTCAGCTATCCAACCAGTTCTAAATTCAACTGATTGTATTTTCAAATAATCTATATTCTCTTTCCATCTTTCATCTTCTTTCCATCTTTTCTACAAAAACTTTGCTTAAATCTGGGTAAAGTATATCCGCAGCACTCCCCTCATCTATTAGTCTAGTAATTCTGTCAAAAAATGAAATGAGGTTAGTCTGACATGAATCAGTCAGGATAAATCCATAATGGATCTTTGTAATCACCACTTCTTTTTCTAGATATTCATCATGCATCTTGTCCATGATTCGTTCTATTATTTCCCTTAAAAACAAAGTGAAGCTCAATGGTCTATTGTGGACAAACTCTATTCTACCCCCACTTTTTTTCAAAAACTGAGACAACTTTTGTCCTTCTGCAGTCTTGCGTTAGAAGCAGCACGGCATAGTGGTGAAAGTGCCAGATATACAATCAAGATAATCTGATTTCAAATCACGTGTGTGATCACAATTAATTGTGTGACCAAGGTCAAGTCATTTAACTGCTTTGATTCTCACTTTCCTCATGTGCAAAATAAAGGGATTAGAATAAATGGAATGGATGGCATCTGAAGTTCAGTTATCAATTTATGATCCTATATTCTTCTGTTTTCCATAATTTTTCAAGTATTGACAATTACCTGGCAATCACATCTGCCAGGTTTTTTAGTATTTATGGATACAGTTCATCTGGGCCAGGAAAATGAAATTCTTCAAGGGTAAGTAGGTGCTCTCTTACTATCTCTTTATGTGTCTTGGATATCAATTCCCTGTTAATCATTTTGGTTCTGTCATTTCTGCTGTAAGGATCATTTCATTTGCAGAAAAAACTATCAAAGAAATAAGCAGCTCTGCATTTTATTGTCAGGTATCATTATTTCATTGACCCCGAGGATGGAAGGAGGGAGGAAGACAGGGGGAGGAGGAGAGGTTCAGCAGCTGTCTTGATAACTGAAGTCCCCAATCATTACTATATCATGCTTCTATGCTAGGCTTGAGATCCATTTCTCCAAATCCACATTTATGTCTTCCGTCCAGGTGATCTGTAATATGCTCCAATAATAAAAAAAAATTTGCTTCCCCCATGACTGACCTTCACCCAAATATTCTCTGTGATGGTCCCTTGGATAGGGTGCTTGAATTTCCTCACATGAATAGATTTTCTAAATATACAAATTTTCCCTCCTTATCCTATTTCTTTGGAATAAGGGACACATATCCAGACTTTAATCTAAGAACGGGTTCCAGCCCATTAAGTTTCAGAAATAACCATGAAGTCAAATTTGCCTTCTTTTGTTAGAATCTCTGGTTCCTTGTTTCTTGCTTCAACTCTGATCAATTTATGCATAGATCTTTGATGCTGTAAGTTTTACTACTGGTACTTTCTTTGATTTTCTTTCTGTGAATTTCTATCCTTCCTTTTTCTTTTTAACTCCCTATAGTATCTAAATTTGTGGCTACATATAGTCAGTCTTCTCCCGTCCCCAAGAACTTTTCATTTGATTTTCAACAAATACAATATTATTAAACTGTTTTAACAAAAATATATTGCATTTCTGGGCAGGAATCTGTCAACTCTCAAATGTCTACTTGCAAATATTGAAAGCTAGGCTCTAGAAATCTAAATCAATTTTTCAAATACTGCATTCTTAGTTAGCTGTTTATTTCCAGTTATGTTCTCTTATTCATTCCTTGCCTTCAATGGAAAACAATGAGGAAAATAGAAACCGTATGCCCCTATGGTGATCAATTTCTTGTTCAAGTCTTCAGAATCACTGATAATACTAATGAAGTTCTTCTGGAAGTGTCATTTTGACCCATTTGAATTAGCAGAAGTAAATAGTTGTTATCCATTTTAGTAAATCTTGGAAGTCTTTACCATGGTTTGGCTACATGCTCTAGGAAGACAAAAGATCTCTCCATTATTGTTTTAGGCCATAAGTGAATGATGGGTAGGATTTTAATAGATGGAAATAAAGAGATGGGAATTTGGGATAAAAACATGGCATGAGTAATTATATGAATATAAGAAGGCATAAGACACATTTATGCAGAAAAGGAACATAAAGTCATCCAGTCTGGGGCTGAAGGTTTGTATTTGAAAGTAGTGAAATGAAAGATTATAAAACTAGATTGGATTTAGATGATAAAAGGTTGGTGTGAGCCCATAGTAAGTACTTAATAAATGTGTATATAACTGTTTTGATTGTCTTTGGAAGACTGGCAGAGTTTTGTTCAAGGTATGGCATCAATATTCTGATTCAACTGAAGTTGGTAAAGTAGTGGTATTCTGAAACATCCTTCATGACTATTAGGCCTAGACATGTGACCAAACTACATTTGGCTTCTCCATAATTTTTGCTGCTGTCATTCAAAATCTTCTTCTTCTTCTTTGTTTTTTTTAGCAGCATCATTTTTAAATTATTTTTTAACAGGTTATACATGTGTAGTGATGCAAAACATTTCCATAGTAGTCATGTTGAGAAAAACTAATTATATTTCCCTTAATCCGATCCTGCCCCCATTTAGTCTATTCTCTCTTTTGACCCTGTCCCTCCTCAGAAGTGTTTGCTTCTGATTACCTCTTCCCTCAATCTGTCCTCCCCTCTATCAGCCCCCTGCTCTCTTGTCTCCTTCCCAGCCTATTTTACTGTAGGGTAAGATAGATTTCTATACCCACTTGAGTGTGTGTGTTATTCCCTCCTTAAGCCAAATCCTATGAGAATAAGATTCCCTCTCACCTTCCCCCACTTCCCCTCCACTGTAAAAGCCTTTTCTTGTCTGTTTTATGTGAGATAATTTACCCCATTCTACCTCTCCCTTTCTCCTTCTCCAGTATAATCCTCTCTCACCCCTTAATTTTATTCTCTAGATTCACCCCTTCCTCTTCAACTCACCCTGCACCCTCTATCTATCTATCTATCTACATACTTATAATTTTTCCCTCCAACTACCCTAATACTGACAAAGGTCTCATGAGTTACAAATATTATCTTTCCATGAAGGAATATAAACAGTTCAACTTAATAAGTCTCTTATGATTTCTCTTTCCTGTTTACCTCTTCATGTTGCATTTGAGTCTTATATTTGAAAGTCAAATTTTCTATTCAACTCTGGTCTTTTCATCAAGAATGCTTGAAAAGTCCTCCATTTCACTGAATATACATTTTTCCCTTAAAGGATTATATTCAGTTTTACTGGGTAGGTGATTCTTGGTTGTAATCCTATCTCCTTTGCCCTCCAGAATATCATATTCCAAGGTCTCTGGTCCCTTAATGTAGAAGCTGCTAAATCCTATGTTATCCTGATTGTGTTTCCACAATACTTGAATTGTTTCTTTCTGGCTGCTTGCAGTATTTTCTCTTTGACCTGGGAACTCTGGAATTTGGCTACAATATTCCTAGGAGTTTTCTTTTGGGGATTTCTTTCAGGAGGTGATTGGTGGATTCTTTCAATTTCTATTTTGCCCTCTGGTTCTAGAATATCAGGGCAGTTTTCCTTGATAATTTCTTGAAATATGATGTCTAGGCTCTTTTTTTTTTTTTGATTGTGGCTTTCAGACAATCCAATAATTTTTAAATTCTCTCTCCTGGATCTATTTTCCAGGTCAGTTGTTTTTCCAATGAGATATTTCACATCATTTTCTATTTTTTCACTCTTTTGGATTTGTTTTACAATTCTTATAAAGTCACTAGCTTCCAATCATTTCATTATAATTTTTAAGGAAGTGTTTTCTTCAATAAGCTTTTGAACTTCCTTTTCCATTTGGCCAATTTTGCTTTTTAGGGCATTCTTCTCCTCATTGACTTTTTGGACCTCTTTTACTATTTGGGTTAGGCTATTTTTTAAGGTGTTATTTTCTTCAGTATTTTTTTTTGGTCTCCTTTAGCAAACTGTTGACTGCTTTTCATTGTTTTCTTCCATCACTCTCATTTCTCTTCCTAGTTTTTCCTCTACTGTTCTTACTTGTTTCTAAAAATCCTTTTTGAGCTCTTCCATGGCCTGGAACGGATTTGTATTTTTCTTGGAGGCTTTGGATGTAGGAGTTTTGACTGTGTTGTCTTCTTCTGGTTGTATGTTTTGGTCTTTGTTACCAAAGAGAGATTCTATGGTCTGACTTTTTTTTGCCTTTCTTGCTCATGATCTCAGCCAATTCCTTGAGTTTTAAACTCTTTGTTAAGGTAGGGGTCTGCTTCCAGTGTGGAGAATATGCTGTTCCAACCTTTGGGGATTTTGTGCATCTATTTTCAGAGATATTTCTAGGGACCTGTAAATATTCAATTCTTCCAAGATGGTATGATAAGGGGCAAGGTGTTTACTCCTTATTACTCCTCTTTTCTGCATTGGAACTGTGAGGAGGATTTCCTCTCCACCACCACTACAAGCTCCACCTAGCCAGTACTCCTCCTCACCCTAGTACCATCACTCAGAACTGTGATCCAGAACCAAGCACAGGCAAAGCAAGAGAATCCTGCACCAACAGAAAGATCCCTGCAATCCCCCTCTGATCAGCCACTTCATTCCCTGTCAGTCTGTGGGCCAAAAGCTTTGGAAGCAGCTGCTGCCCTGGGGCCACGCATGGGAACTGGGGCTGGAACTGAGCTTCTATTTCACTGTGGTCACAGACTTTTCCTACTGACCTGCTAAGTTGTCTTTGGCATTCATGGGTTGATAAGTCTGGAAACTGCCACAGTTGTCCATGATTCAGTCCTCTGAGGGCTGCTCCCGGTTCTCTGAGGCCTGCCTTGCCTGTGTACCCATACTAAACTGCACTCCTCTCCCTCCCTGGTGCAGTATACCTTTCTGATCAATCATCCAGGCTGTCTTGACCTGGAAATTTGTTTCACTTTGTCTTTTTGTGGGTTCGGCTGCTTTAGAATTGTTTAGAGCCATTTTTACAGGTATTTGGAGAGGTTTGGGGGAGAGCTCAAGCACGTCAAAGCTTTTTCTCTGCCATCCTGGCTTTGCCTCCCATTTATATTCTTCTTACATTTTAACCCCTGCCCTTCCCCAATGTGCTCTGTGATCCACTGACACTATCCTTCTAGCTGTTTCTCAAAGAAGACAGCTCTTTACTCCATCCATTTTCACTGGCTGTCTTCCATGATTGGAAAGTTCTTCCTCCTCCTCATCTCCATCTACTGGCCTCCCTGGATTCCTTCAAGTCCCAACAACAACAACAAAAAAATCTTTTACTGGAAGCTTGTCCCAATCTCTGTTATTTCTACTGCTTTCCCTCTGTTGATTATTTCCAAGTTATTCCCTTATATACTTTGTTTTCATATAGTTACTTCAAAACTACCTTAGTCATCAGACTGAAAGACTTTGAAATCAGTGACTGTTCATTGCCTTTCTTTGTATCCCTGGAGTTTACCGCACTGCCTATCACATACTAGGTGCTTAAAAATGTTTATTGACTGAATGAATTACTCCATTCAACATCAAGTACAGGGGTAAAATTCAATAGCTAAGTTCTAAAACAGAGGATCCTGGACATGGAGACTCACAAATACAGAATTACAAATGTGAGCATTGGAATGGATATCAGAGATCATATAGGACAGTCTGAATCTAAAGAAGAATCTTAAGTATTCAACTATATTTATAACACATTTATTAAGCTCAATGCTTGGAGTACAAAGATAAAAACAAATTAATCATTAAAAAGTGGTCAGCCAGCCTTTATTTGAAGATATCCAGTGAAGGGGAGTCCACTACCTTCTAAGTAGCTGATTCCACTTTGGGACGGCTCTAATTATGAGCAGGTTTCTCCTTACCTCAAGGCCAAATCTACCCCTGCAACTTCCATTCAGAGTTACTGATTCTATTGTCCTGAACAAAGTAGAATATTTTTATTTCTCTCCTACATGACATCCTTGCAACTACTTGAGGATCACCTCTATAAGTCTTCTGTTTTTTAAATAAACATCCCAATTCCTCCTCCAGTCAATCCTTGTATGTCATGATCTCTTGGAGCTTTGCCCTCTTGCTCACCCACTTATTAATATGGTTACCTATATCTTTCATAAACTTTGGTACCCAGAACTGAACACAGTCCTCCAAGCATGATCCAACCAAGGTAAAGTAGAGCAAGACTGTTTGTCTGTCATATGTGTGTGTGTATGTAACATACACATACACACACACTTTATTTTCAGGGATCTCTCTACTTTTTTCTGTCTGTTGTGTCACACTCTTGATTCATATTGAGCTTGCAGTCCACTAAACCCTTGATTATTTTTTTATCATGGATTATTATCTATCTTTCATTTGTGAGGTAAGTTCTAATGAACTCAAGCATCAATCTTTACATTTCTCTCTATTCAATTTCACTTTATTGTATCTGGTCCACCCACTAACTCATACAGTTGGATGAGAAGTAACAGAATCCTGTTACCCCTGTGTTTCAATAAAATAGTCAACATAAGGTTATTGTTCTCACTCACGATTCATTCCTGTAATTCATATAGTAATAATTTACTTTGATCATGCTAAGTGAATACAAACTTAAGTTTTGGTTCTGATACTAGACTAAAAGGATTAGAATTTAAGAATACCTCAAAGATCAAGCTCATAATTTGAGATGGTTCACTTTTTTAATCATAAAGGAAACAAAATAGAGATAGGATGAACATTTTTTATAAAAAATTTAAATATAATTGTAACAACTTTTTGGTGTCAGTTGATGTACCTGGTTTTTCTAGAATTAATTACCTTCCTTCAAAGGAGGCAAGAAATATTTAAGAATAACCATGGCTCTAACTACCAGACTGATATGTCTGTTTACTTTTCTTCTCTATCTCTACACTGACAGGGTCTTCATTGATAACTTTCACTGATTTATTTATTTTTCTTCTGGCACTTTTGCCTCAGAACTGACACATGGACAAATGTATGATTTATGTGATATTTTTTTAACTCTTCTCTCTTCAAAACTGTTGATAATATTTTGAAAAAGATTCAAGAATCTTAAGGTCTTTCTGCCTGATTTAATATCAGTCTAAATCTACACTTGATAAGTAAACGTCCTTACCCATAATGGAGAGATGGACTACCACAAAATCAAAGATGTTCCAGCCTATGGTAAAGTAGTATTGGCGGAGGCCGATGAGTTTCAGTACACATTCTCCCGCAAAGAGACCAATGAACACCAGGTTGATCTGGTACAAGATGTTGCTTGTATAGGCACTTTGGGTATCTGTTTCCACCATCATGGTCACCATGTTAAGACAGATGAATACTATAATGATGATCTCAAAAGCATCTTTGGTGACTAAGTCAAATACATATCCCTGGAATTTGTTCTGTAATAATGGAGTGAATATTAAAATGTAATTAAAATCATTGGACTCACAAAACTCATCTAATTAAAGTATAATTGCATGTTTTAACTCAAATTCGACAAATTTTAGACTCTCACTACAGTAAGGCACATGAGAAAGATTTTTTTTTTGCCAAGAGTGTATCATTATAGTGTCTGCAATACTGATGGATCTTCAACTGGCAGTAGTATCAAATGATTTATCAATTTTTCTATCTCCAACTTCTTCATCAAGTTGTTAATGATCTATAAACATATACCTAAATGCACTACTGAGCCTATTGAAAGAAGTCTGTAATATCTTTTTTCTTAATGTTTCATAATGTAAACAATACTACACTAATTTTCTTACTTTGCAAATTTTGTTTTCTTTCCATTTGGGTTATTAAGCAAAAGCATTCGTATCAAAATTTACTCTCTCTACCAATCCTCATATATTATTTCATTCACTAATTCCTTCATAATTGTATATATAAACACAAATAATATACTGTTTTGTATAACAATATTTTTCAAGATTCATTTAAAAATATTGAGCTTCCCTAGAGCTTGAACATCATATTCATTACTTAATGAAATCAGCAATCAAAATGCTCCTACTAGGGTGCAATGCATTATGTTAGGTGCTGGGAGTGAGGTTGGAAACTTACAAATGTAAATCTCTAAGATAAGAGAACATATTTAAACATCTGTAGCAAACTCACCTCACATTACTCCAATGCCACAAATTTTTTTGGGAGAAATCATAGTAAACTAATGCAGGTATAATATTTAGAATACCTATCAGGTCTGTCTTAAATAGAAAGATAGAAGACAAATAGGGAAATAAATCCAAGAGAGTGAAGAGAGATTAAGAGAATACCTAACTGTCCTCAATATTAATTCATTTCTCCTGACTGAACTACTTTTCCACATAATTAGGTGGCACAGTGGATAAAGCACTGACCCTGGAATCAGAAAGACCTGAGTTTAAATCTAGCCTCACACCCTTACCAGCTTTGTGACCCTGGCAAGTCATTTAACCTGTGTTTGCCTCAGTTTCCTTATATGTGAAATGAGGATAATAGCAGCACCTATACCTCAGAGTTGTGAGGATCAAGTGAAATAATAATTGTAAAGTACTTAGCACTATCTGGCACATAGTGTGATATACATGTCAGCTATCATTGCATGATTTCTGACTATCAATGATCTTTGTAAAATGGAATAGAAAACAGAAATGAAGGACAAGGACTATTGTTAGACTCACAAATCATGCTTTAAAAAAGGGGGAGAAGATTCTTTAAAATACAGGTGAGTAAACTGCTAGGCATAAACTCTAAGATCAAAGATGAGAAGAAAGCTACCACATAAGGCAAAATAGTCATAATAGCACTTTTTTGTGTTAATATAAAATTGTTACCACCTAGGTAATGGTTGAACTAATAATGAATGGTGTATGAATGTAATGAAATATTACTGAGGTGTAAAAAATGATGAACATAAGAAAACTTGGGAAGTCTTAAATGAAATGACATCATATGAAGTGAGTAGAATCAGGAAATCAATATTTAACGTGGCTAAAATATAACTGGTTTTTTGTCTGCTTGTTTTAAGGCAAGGTTCATTGAATGGGCACAAAAGGACTATATCCAGAAATGATTAATATGAAAACAAATGCCAACAACAAAGCTTAATATAAAATAGGCCGGTGAACTTGAATTTGAATCCTAGATAAATTTCAGAATGCATCATTAAATATATGGTTTTTAGAGGTTTTACAAAGGGAAACATGAGCTATTAAAATCATCATGGGTTCCTTATGAACAAGTCAAGCAAGCATAACATAACGTCCTTCTTTTAACACAATTATTAGACTGGTAAACCAGGAAAATACCTACATATAGTTTACATGGATTTCACCACGTCATTTATTTTTCAGGTTGTGCTTACTTCACTTGGCATTTCTCACAATATCTTTGTGGAGAAAACATGGATATGGCACCACTACTTCTATCTTGACTGTGAACCCTCAAGACAAAGTTATGTCAGGTTCAAAGTACTGTTTGGGGACACACTGATTCAAAAAATATATCTTACCATCTCCCTACTGATATGTTTATTTTTTACTAGTCAACCAGAGAGTGGAATAAGTTCAAAGTAAAGAATTTAATGCAATGCCATAGTAAGAAAAGTAGCAATAAAACATTTTTTCCACAAACTTGTGGCAGATAACCCTACAAATAAACATACATATGATCAGTTGGAATACTATACACAAAGTAAATAAAAACAGGAAGCTACAAACATGGAAAACACGTTTGGGCAAGAGATACACACAGAAAAGCCAAATATGAAGGGACCACATAGTAGAAAGGGACTCAAGCAGAGGGGCATTTCATGTCTTCAGTGTGGTGGGACTATCAATTTTTTCTATTGCCATCTTCTTGCCATCTTTGTGGATCCACTATTTGTTTGTCTCATGTGCTACAGAATTTCTGTCAATTATGAGATTACTGGTCAACACTGTCCTCTTTTTCATGTGTTTGCTTCCACACATATTTTATAGGACAGAAGTTTATATACAATGAAGGGATTGTACTTAATGATATATAAGGTCCCTTACAAATATAAAATAATAGGATACAAGTAACTCAAGAAATATTTATTGAATTAATTATTGAACCAGGAAAAAAATTGTAGCACACTTACTTGGTAAGGGCCTTATTTCTTAAATATATAGGCAACTGAGCCAAATGTATAAAAATAAGAGTCATTCCCCAAATTAATATATGGACAAAGGATATGAATAAGCAATTTTCAGAAAAAGAAATCCAAGCTATCAATGATCATATGAAAATGCTCTAATTCACTAATAATTAGAGAAATTCAAATTAAAACAACTCTAAAAAATCACACCTATCAGACTAGCTAATATAAAAAATGCTAGACAGAATGTGGAAAATGAGTACATTCATGCACTATTGGTGGAGTAGTAAACTGGTCTGACCACTGTGGAGAACAATTTGGAATTATGCCCAGAGGATTATAAAACTGTGTATACCCTCTGATAAAAGCAATACCACTAACTAGGTTTATATCCTAAAGAGATCAAAGCAAAAGGAGAAGGAAAAGGACCCACATGTACAAAAATATTTACAGCAGTTCTTTTTGTTGTGGCAAAGAATTGGAAATTGTGGGAATATCCACCAATTGGGGAATGACTGAACAAGTTGTGGTATATGATTATGATGGAATACTAGTGTGCTAGAAGAAAAAAAATCAACAGTATGGTTTTAGAAAAACCTGTGAATATTTACATGAACTGTTGCAAAGTGAAGTGAGCAGAACCAGGAGAACACTGTACATAGTAATAGCATTATTGTAATGATGATCATCTGTGAAGGACTTAGCTACTTTGATTAATACAATGATCCAAGAAAATTCCAAAGGACTTAGGATGACAAATGCTCTGTACCTCCAGAAAGTGAACTGATGAACTCTGAGTGCATACTGCTGCATATTGTTTTTCACTTTATTTTCTTGCTTTTTTTTTGTAACATGGCTAATATGAAGATACGTTTTACATGACATTTGTATAATGTATATCGTATTGCTTGACTTCTTAATGGGTGGTAGAAGGGCTGGAGTGAGGAAGGAGTAAAATTTGGAACTCAAAATTTTAAAAAATGAATGTCAAAAAGAAAGTATGTGTTAACACACCACTTTATTGTTCTACTCACCATCTTTATGATTTCCCAGACCAAAACTTTCTACCCTGGCTATCACTCCTAAAATTGGATTGTCTCACCAATTGGAATATAAGCTTCTTGAACACTGAAATTCACTTATATGTGTATTCTAAGCTCTCAGCATAGCCCCTACCACATAGTAAGTGTTTAATAAATGCTTTTCATCTAAAAAATGATACTGTGTGAAGTATACTGTTTATGTTCCTTCAGAGGTCATAACCTCAACTAAAGTCTTACAATGATACCTCATTGGGCTATGGAGGTGACCCTTTACTGTCAAAGGATATGCCTATGTGGCACAAGTTCTGTTAGGTCCTATTAGGTTGAAAAAGCTTTAAATGAAGGCCAATCATAGATTGGCAAACCAGGACCTATCTTGCTTAAAGGCTCATTGCAGGAAGATTTGATTTTTAATCCTGATTTTTTTTCTGGCCACAGTAATTCAGGAAACTAATCACGTTAAGGACTTAAAGAGTTGAATCCAACACTGGTAGAGGAATCACACACTTAAATTACTGAAAAGCATGAGTGACTATAATTTCTATACCACACAAAAGGACAGCAGAGCTGGGATAAGTCCTAAAATATAAATTATTAATATGACACGACTATGATAGATTGGTCAAAAATGAGAGAAGAGAGACTGGGATAGTCTAAAATTTATCAGCTTGTCTTTGGAAAAAAAAACATAAGATTTTCAAGGATGTAATAAAAACAATCTTCTGACAATCTGGATGAGAGGTAGTTATTTTGCTTACCCGTGGCCGAGGTATTGGATTTTGGGGTTTCTTACACCCCAATTTTTTCATCAAACTGTAGTATTTCTTCTGATTCTCTGTCATGAAAATACCTATGCCGCCAATGTAAAAAATAAAGAAAACTATTAAAATCATATTTCTTGTCTCAATTTCTCCCAATCAACTAATACTCATTTTTGGAGCCATGATAGTAGAGAATTTGGTTCCTTTAAAATGAACCTCACCCCTATAGCACTAAATAAAAACCTGTCTTAAAGAATTTATGTATTTTCATGTAGCTCTGGGTATATACAAGGATGTACATATATAAAATGACCAGAGTGCATATCTCAGGAATGATAGATGGTTTCATTACGGTGGGGGGTTAATCTAGGTGTTATTTAGCCATATTCTTAACTTTCTATTCATTATTGTTGCCTTTCTGAGCATTCTGCTTTTTTTGTTTAGTTGTTTTCATTTGAGTCTAATTCTTCGTGACCCTATTTGGGGAATTCTTTGCAAAGATACTGGAGTAGTCTGCCATTTCCCTCCCCAGATCATTTGACAGATGAAGAAACTGAGGTGAAAAGGATTAGGTGACTTGCCCAGGTTCACACAGCTAATAAGTGTCTGAGCCCAGATTTGATATAACAAAGATGAGTCTTCCTGCCTCCAGGCCTGGTGCTTTATGAATTGTGCCACCTACCTGCATTATACATATACATAGTTGCATAGTCACAAAAATGTATATGTGCATATGTGTACATGTACATATATAATAGCTAGCTTTCATGTAGTGCTTTTAAGCATGTTTGCACTTTACAAATATTATCTCATCTTATGCCTGAAACAACCCAAGGAGGAAGGTGTCATTGTTATTTCCACTTCACAGATGAGGAACCTGAGACAGACGGAGGATAAGCGAATTGCCCTGAGTCACACAACTAATAAGTGTCTGAGGCCAGATTTGAACACAGGCCTGCTCGACCTCTAACCCTCTATCCATTGCACCATCTAGATGCCTCGATGCATATATGTTATCTGTGAATGTGTCATATTCTCTTTTCTGAACATATAGTAAACTCCACAAGAACAGAGATTAAGTCTTAACTAAAATGTGTATCTCTAATAGCACAGTACCTGGCCCATAGACAAAACGTAATAATAATTGCTTTATCCATTTCTCTTAGCACATAAAACAATACTCTGAATGCATTAAGTACCTAATAAATTTACATTAAATTCAGCTGAATAAATGATAGCTTTAAGAGATAAGAATCTATAATCTAATGATTTATTGGGGTTTAGGGTGGTGGTAAAAAAAATCTCTACTCTCAATACCCACTTGTTCTCAGAGCCCTTGTAACTGTTTTTTTGTTCAAAAGAACCAACAAAATATTCTTGCAAAGTTCAATGATTTTTATAATCAAATAACACTTTCTCAGACTTCACTGTCCTCAAAATCTCAATTAGATTTTACACTATTGATTACTCCTCTTCAGATTCTTAAAACTTGGTTAGTGTGGCTTCTGCGCCTTGATCTGCTGAGAAGGAAAAGGGTGGAAGTAGGGATGATGACTTGGAGTGGGATGAAAAAGTTTGAGATAATTGATACAGCACGTACGATGGTTGATCATTACAGAAAATAAATCTGGAAGCTGTTCAGTTATGGGGACAATGGAGGAATAGGCTGGGTTGTAGCAAGAAGAAATTGGAAGTAAGGACTGGCAAAAGCAGGACAACATGCTATAGTGGAAGGATCATTGTAGGTCACGGCGACTGCTGTTCAGCTTGTTCTAAGTTACCAACTATTGACTTTCTGAACCAGTTTATCTACAGGTGAAGTGAGAGTTGGAGTCAATTATCTTCAGTGTCCTTTCCAGTTCTAAAATTCTCTAAGTCTATGAGATAAGAATAACAACTACTCTGAGTCTAAAGTTGGTGACTCATAACTCCACAGATGTTACTGGCCAAATCTGGATTGAGACATGTGTACACAATATAAACGGTGCATTTACCAATATAAATATATTGGTACACAATATAAACAGCTGGTGGCACAGGGGATAGAGTACTAGCCATGCAATCAGGAAGACCTAATATCAAATCTGGCCTCAGACACCTACTGGCTGGGTCACCCTAGCTAAGTCACTAAACTTTGTTTGTCCTAGCTTCCTCAACTGTAACATGGGAATAATAACAGCATTTACCTCTCAGGGTTGTTGTGAGGTTCAAATGAGATAGTATTTGTAAAAGCACTTTGAGCAGTACCTTGCACATAGTAGATGTTATGTAAATGTTTATTCTCTTTCCTTCTCCCTTATGCCCTTTAATCCCTTCCTTGCATCGTATAATTTAGCCATGCTGGCTTCCTCACTCTTCTGTACACACAATACACCATCTCCCATCTCCAAACCTTTACACCCCCTTCCTCACTTTTGCCTCTCGGAATCTCTAGTTTCCCTCAAGACTAAGTTAAAACACTACCTTCTCCATGAAAGTCTTTTCTGGTCCTTTCTAGCTGCTAGTATACCATCTCATAATTCCCTTGTGTCCATTTTATTTATTTTATGTACATACTCATATCTCTAAATGTTATGTCTGCCATTAAAATTTAAGGTCTTTGAGGTTAGGGACTATTAAATTTTTGTCTTTTTATTCTCAGAGCTTGTCACAGTGTCTAGCACAAAGTAAAGGCTTAATAATAAACTGCTTGTTGGTTGCTGGAGGAATTGGTTTTCCTAGCTGAAAGTGTTCTCTCTCTGCTCAAATCTTCCCAGAGCACTTTGCTTAGAACTCTCCTTAGCTTCAGTCACAGTCTGCTTCGGGTTATAGTTAACCATGTAAATGTGGCTTCTGCTACCCCCCTTCCCCCACCACACACTCTTCTGCCAGCTCCCTTACATAAGCTTCCTGGAGCAGGATTGTGTGTGCGTATGTGGGGGGGTGGGGGTGAGCATGGGTGCGTCCCTAATATCTAGTACTATACCTTAGTACAGAATAGTTTCTTAATAAAAGTTTATAGAATACAACTTGATTGAATAATCAAAGATTTGGAATACTTATCTTTATTTGTTGTTTGAAATGATTAATGACAACACTAATGAAGAAGACCAAGGGGAAGAATAATCCAAAGATAATAAAGGTGACAAAGTAAAGATATATGTAGAAATTGTTCTCATACTGAGGCTGACTTTCTACCTACACAAAGGAAAAAAACAGCAAATATTAGCAATATATCAGTATTGATCGAGGACTTCAATTTAATGCAATAACTCTTAGCAAGAACTGTGAGCATTTTTTCTGTATTATCTAGGGGCCACCATTTTGCTTTGATTTTGTTTTAAAAGTTTATTACATAGGCTTAAATTACATCATTCTTAGTTTATGTCAATCAACAAATAAACCCATAGGGTGGGAACCAAAGATATTCTGAAATCTGAAAATGAAACTCCACAGGTTTTGCAAGTTACATTAGCTCCACCTGTAAGGAGAAAGAACTGTTATACAATTCAGAGAACAGACAAATATTTGAAACATGGCTATAGTTCTCATCATTCTTGTGAAACAAATTCTACTTATTTAACTGATTCATTGTTCTTGGCAGCTTTTCATTTAATTAGAAGAATTATTTTTGAGAACCTTAGAAATTGAGTTTAAAGATGTCCCTCATAGAGGCAGCAGAGCACATAGTAGAAGAAATGAACTATGAACACAGAGAATGAACTATGGAGTCTGAATACAGATGGAAGCATCCTATTTGCTCTCCATTGCCTTTGTTGTTTTCTTTTATTGATTCATTCTTGTGGTTCCTCCCATTATTTCTAATTAAAGGATCATTATATTTTCTCAAACTTAAAATTTTGAGTCTGGGTCTATTTAGCCTCTGTGGCCATCACAACTTCATAGTCCAACATGTGACATTCATAATGATGGCTCTGGTATATATAAAAGAAGAAAGTGAAGTGGACTTGGAGTTAGGAGATGATGGCTTGAATTGTGACTTTGACAAAGACTTGCTCTGTGACCATGGACAAGAGATCTAATCTCTTAAAGGCTTTGTTTCCTTATCTTCAAAATACAGATAATACTTACCCTACCCTCTCTTGAAGGGTCAATATAGAAAAAGCATGTTTGACACATCAAAACATTAGATGATTGTGAGCTATTATTGTTTTTCCTCTGGGGAGGATTTATCCTCTCTGGGTAATACTGTTGACTCTCCACAGGACTTTTTCTACCATGTCATAGAAACCTATTCACCTTTGAAGCTTGCTCTGCCTCTGAACTACTCACACTGGAAATAACTTTTGCTCCTGTGACCCCTCTGTCTGCCAGAACCTCTACTGGAAGGAGGAGGCTAAGGCCAATCCCATCATCATTTCTCTTCAGGGTGGTTGTTGACTCATCATTATAGGACTTCATCTACAACTACGCCCCCTCACTAGGTGTTCTCAATTTCCCCTATTACAACTCCCTTTTAGGCGTTGTCTTCCCTATTAGAATAGAAGTTCTTTGAGGGATTTCTTTCTGTTCGTATTTGTATCCCTAGTATTTAGCACAGTGCCTGGCACATAGTAAGGGCATAATAAATACTTGTTAACTCATTGATTATGTGGGTGGTGGTGGTGGCAGCATACTGTAGTGGTAAGAGTACTTATTTTTTTTAATCCAAAAATCTGGGTTGGTGCTGACTCTTCTCCAACTATGTAACCCTGAGCAAATAATTTCCCTTCTTGGGCCTTTGTTTCTGTAAGATGATGATGATAATACCTGTACTACGTATCTCCCAAGGACAGGTTTTGTGAAGAGGTTAGCTAACTTTAAATATGAATAGTTATTATTAGGGGGTACATGGTCCCATACTTACATCAACTGCATCAACAGCTGCATTCATGATATCCAACCATCCTTGAAAGGTGGCCTGCAAATATTACATTTATTAAATTTTGCTTCTAGAGATGACAGTTAAGAACAAGAGTGATGTCGAGCTTAGTGTAGAACAGGTTAAAGGTCTTTGTTGAGTAATCTCTGATGAGTAAATCTTGTCATATTTTAAAATATTGTTTTTACTTAATGTATATATTTAGTTTTAATCTATTTTTTTTTCTTCAAAATGTCACATTTGGCTAGTAAACTAATGCTAAGCTTAGCATTGTACTAAGACTTTTGGGACATTCTGTATATTAGAATTAAACTCCTCATCCTATTTTTGGTCAACAACTGCTATCTAAATACTATAATTTGACAATTACCAAGTATGTAACTATAGGTAAATCAGTTCCCTTCTTGGAGTTCCAGTTTTCTCAATTGTAAAATGGATATTTAGGTTCCACCTATCTGACAGTTTTGTGTAAGGAAATCTCTAGAAGTATTAAAGCAAAAGATGTGTATGCTATCCTCCTCCTCCTTCTCCTCCTCCCCTTCATCATCATTCTCAGCTAGCAAATTGGTTTTATTAGCAGAGTGGAACACAATGAATACGAGACACAATTTAATTGATAATTCATAAAAGAGACTACAGATATCTACTCCAACTGCATCACCAGGACTAATCTTACACAATGGTGGCAAGCAGCATAATTGGAGAAGATTTTAGGAAAAAAAAAGGAAAAAAGGAGTAGGACATAGAGAGCCATCTTTAGAAGCAGAAAGAACTGGGTTGAAGTCCTGCCTTTGGCCCATACTGGCTGTTGACCCTGGGCAAGCCACTTAGCATACTAGTGCTCCATTCAACAACAGAGGACGTGCTGACCTGAATTGGTAGAGGGAGTTTCCTCATCCAGTAGTTCCCTATGCCAATGAAATCAAGAGTCCTGTCCCTTAACTTTCTTTTGGAGAAAAAAAAAAAAACCACAGACCATTAACTTACAATGCCTCAGCCATCTGCTTTGCTGATTTCTGAAATCCCACAACTATAACTTCATTATATTGCCTTTAAAAAAAATCAAACAGGAGACTCTGTGTCCTCTAAAAACCATATTTATCCAAATATATCTCTATCTACCTACCTACCTACCTACCCACCTATTTGGAAAAATTCAAAATAATTGGTTTTCTTTGTAGTCCTACATATTTCATTGTATGTATTTACAAACAGTAATCCAAGAGTAGGTCCACAGGCTTCACTAACCTGCCAAAGAGATTAGGTTAAGAACCCCTAGAATTAGGGCATATGGTTAGTCTCACTATATTGGTCATTAACTATGTCACTGCATAGAAGCTTGATTCTTCTTTCAATATTTAGGATATTTCTATATAAATAAGCTAGAAAAATTAGTTAAATAAAAATTAAAAGAGAATTATGGCATTTTAGATGCCCTGTATTCTTTCTACTCTCTCTAATACTCCAACTCCATCTCTCTCTTCTAAAACACCAGTGATAAAAAAAAATATGTGGTGGCTGGTTAATTTGATGGAGTCAGTCCACGATTTGACATACACAGCCCCGTGCTTACCTTGCTCTCACTGTGCTAAATGACAAACACATTGTACCGTTTCTCACTTTCAGTCCATATCGTGGCCCCTAGTTCCTGCTTAGGACAGTCTTAAAATCCCAAAGATATTAAGAAGAACATTCCATTCACAAAAAGCAATAAAAAGAGATATGCCCCTATGAGATATATAGGAGACAGTTTTTGTATCAACTTGTTACAACTGTTTCTCACATGAAATGTTTTAAGACCCCTCACTCTTCACTGAATGAATTCTTATTTGTCAATATCCTTCTGATAATGTGACATTCATAGCTCAACACAATACTCCAAATGTGTCCTGAAGGGCCAGTCAGGGCCAGCCATAACTCTTGACACAGCCTAAGACTGTATGAACTTTTGTCTTAACATTTATGTCACACTATTGGTTAATTTTCAGGTTGTAGTAAATCAACTCCTAGGTCTTTTATATATGGGCTGTTGTTATTCTAGAACTTCTCCATGTAGTTGGGTAATTTATTGTTCTAATCTACATCTAAAAGGACTTCACATTTGTTATTTTAAAATTTCATCCATGTGGTTTTATTTCATAAGATTCCAACCTGATGGTATTTTTGAATGTTGAATTTTTGAAATTTTTTTGAGTTTTTAAAATTAAAAAAAAAATAAATTTTTGAATGTTGCCTTTATAAATATACCTTCTACATGTTCACTCAAGTAATCAATCAAAAAAAGCTGTATAACAGAGCAGTTTGGAGTAGTGTATAGAAGCCTGAACCCAAGAAGACGGGTTCATCTTACATCTGATACATATTGGCTTGTGTAAGTCAATCAGCCTTTCAGTGCCCCAGATAACTCTCTAAGGCTTTAAATAATAGAGGAGTTGCTCATTTGCACTGATGGAAGACATTTCCACATAAAGATTGATGAAAGAGGTTTGGACAAAAACAAAACAAAACAAAACAAATCAAAAACAGGTGGAACTCTCCTTCCCCCACCCCCACTCTACCCACTCAAATACTTCTAGAATGGTTCCATTAAAAAAAATTAACCTTAGGTATGTCCATTTAATTAGGTGTGACTTCACCAAACTACATCATCATCTAACCTACTTTTTTCCCACAGTATTCTCAAGACCTCGTGAAATGTTTTGTTAAATATACTTACGTTTTTATATTTTTGTAAATTTATAACTAAGCATTAAATAAATAAAATCTTGATTTTTATTCCTCCATACATTTTTGGAAAAAAGTGTGTGTGTGTGTGTGTGTGTGTGTGTGCAAGCATGGGCACTGTAGAAATAAGGGCCACTTACTAATTGAAAGAGAGAAAGGTAACCTTTTCCAACATTGTCAAAATTTGCTTTTCCATTCTTCCACTGCACATTTCCACCACTTTGGATAAGCATGTTACATTGAGAAAAATTGGCAACAATAGTCCTAGAAAGTCTTTCACCAGTTGTGGTATTAACACATTCGAAGAACTTGCCAGCAAACAAGTTAATTCCCATTAGGCTAAAAAATAGCCAACACATAAGGCAGACCACAAATGCTTTTAAGATGGATGGAAATGCTTTTAAAAAAATATACAAAACCACCTAGAAAAAAAAGAAATATAATATATATATACAATATACCAGATATACATGTAATAAAAAAATTAAACAATTTTGCCATTTAATTAACAAAACTATTACTATCTCAAGAATCATATTATATAAAAATCAGGAAAGCCAAATTCATATTCATATACATATGTATACATATGCCTTTTAATAATTGATATCGCTATTAAAACAGCATGACTTCGTGTATAAAAAACTAGACTGGAAGGCAGGAAGTTTCATTTCCTATCTCTGATGTATGTTGACTATGTGACCCTGAGTAAGTCACTGAATCTCTCAGTGTTCTAAGCAAATCTCTAAGACAGAATTACAGAGGAGGTACCAAGCAGCTCTAGTAGAGTAAATTTCCTCACCAGGGAGTCTTTCTATACCAATAAAATCAGTCTCAATAGAAAAAAAGAAAAAGTGAACATAAAAAGTAGAATTTCTTCTGAAACTTTCAGATATCTGTCTTTTCTATACCAAATATTTGTATGTTATGAGATATAAAGATAGGAAATCGAGGTGACAAAAACTGATTTTAAGAATCTGCATGAGTTTATGCAATAGAATAGGAATCTATTTGTTTTGAGACTACAAAAGGATATAATTCACCATTTCTAGAAGTCTTTCCTTCTACACAGTTTATATTACCTTGTTTTAATGGATAGATTATTGTAGACAATTTTATTTTTCTTACCCTTACTTCTTCATATACAGATAAAATTCTTAGCATCCGAAAAGATTTCAGAGCAGCAAGTTCTGAGTATCCTAGATAACTGGCTACCAAACTAACCAAAGAGACCTGAGTGGGAACAAAGATAAATATTTCACAATTGTCATATCAAACTCCTCCATAAAATAAAAATACAAGTATTAAAGGATGTTAAAATAATTAGATTATATCAAGAAATAATGCAAGAGAATAACAGCTTATAAGAAAGTCTTTTTCTAACATATCTGAGAGAAGATACATTGATAACAATGAGTGGAAAGAACAATACCAAGAAATAAAGTTTGTTGGCCTAAGCAGACCCAATAGAAGTACTCTTTTACATTTATTTTGATTAACATTTACAGTTACACAATTTAAGGGCTTAACATTGACAGTAACAATGATGGGCTTGACATTGACAGTAACAATGATGTTTATAGTCTTGTAATGGGTGCTTTGTTATTTTTTTTAATGAGAATTACTTTCATTTTTAAATAGTGATAACAGCACAAACAACTTAGTGATACTTATCAGGTTATTGGCAGAAGGGCTCTGGTAAATCTTTATGTTTCTCAAATATAGTACCTAAAGATCCTGAGCATGAAGTACTTAATGTTTATTAAGGTCACATTTTTCATGATAGGCAGAAACACTAAGCTACCCCAGTGTTCTAGATTGACCTACCCTTCTTCCATCGCATACCTCCTCCCCTTAATAAAAGGTCCTAAATATGGTGTTAACAATCATTTCATTCAAGCAGAGGTTATATTTGTATTCTGGTTTCCAAAACTTGGTGTGTGGTTACAGAATGTTCGTGTGCTGTGTATTTCTAAAGATTGTTCAGCCTTTGACTTCCTTAGGTGGAAGTTGCTGTCTTTTTTCCCTCCAGTCACATCAAAACTTTCACAAAGACTACATTTCTAAGAGACAAAAGCACAAACCAGTGTGACCCAGAGGCCCTAATGGTAAGAGAGAAAGAGGAACACACTGCCAAGTAACATGGAAGTAAAGGCAATACAAAGATTTTAGTCAGAACTCACAGGGAAAAAAAAAGGTTCAGGAGCATTAAGTTCATGTAAATGAAATTATTAAAGAAAGTTGATATGGGATCCTGCCATATTCAAATTAAATGATTTTTTTAAATAAAAAGAATGCTTACAAACTGAAAGTCAGATCAGCCCATTCACTCAGGATAGCAGATGCTGTCTTAAACCAGCTTTTCTTTCTCCCTTACCTTGTCCCAATGTGAGAAGAGCCACAATATAACTGTGTAACAATGATTATTGGGCAGATTCCTGTGCATTCACTGAAAAGAAATCTCACAAATATAATAAAATAAGGAAGAGATTCTTCACCATCTCCCCTCCCCCTCCCAAAAAAGAACAGATTTTTAAAGTAGAATTTGGACATATTGAAAAGTTCTGGAATTAAATAATGGGTGTAAGGAATAATTTCACCTCTGGGGTGATGCACAGCTCACAGTTTAGACCTGGCTATCTTCAGCGTAAGAGAAAGTACCTTCTTCATGATTCAACGTATAACAAATAGTATTATGGTATCCTTACATCAGGCAGCTAGGTGATTCAGTGGTTAGAGTGCCAGGTCTAGACTCCTCTTTCCTGAGGTAAAATGTATCCTCAGACACTTACTAGCTGTGAGATGCTGGCCAAGTCACTTAATCCTGTTTGCCTCAGTTTCCTCATCTGTAAAATGATTTGTTGAAGGAAATGGCAAACCACTCCAGTATCTTTGCCAAGAAAACCCCAAATGGGGTCACAAAGAGTTGGACACGACTGAACAATAACACCCTTAAATTCTGTGATCTTTAATTATCTTGCCACCAGTTAAGTTTATCTCAGCTTGAGCTTCCAGTGTTCTATGGCAGCAGTCTGTATGAGAGTTGCATCGATGAAAAGAATGAGATGGATGTTTAACAGTAGGCTCAGGGAACTATCTTTGTGGTAACTTTTAACCCCCTTGGGGAAGGACTAAAAGAAAGTACATCTATGATTTTCCAAATGTTCAATACATCACATACCACCTAGTCATCAATCACTAAACTAGCAGTCTTTTCCCCTGTAAACGTAATAACCCATTATTAGTCACACTAGGCAGCTAGGTGGTACATTGAATGGATTATTGAGTCTGAAGTCAGAAGACTCATCTTCCTGAATTCAAATCTGGTATCAGACACTTAGTAGCTGTGTGATCGTGGGCAAATCATTTAACCCTGTTTGCCTCAGTTTCCTCATTCGTAAATGAGCTGGAGAAGGAAATAGCAAACCACTGCAGTATCTTTGCCAAGATAACTCCAAATGGGGTCATGAAGAGTTAGACATGAATGCACAACAAATCTAGAGTCTCACTAAAAATTGTGATAGTGCAGTTTTAGTATAATATTAAAACACTGTTTTTGTTTAACAGTGTGAACAACCAAAACACACACGCACACACACACATGTTTAAGTGTTATATGATCAGATGGTGAAAAAGAACTAGTGCTTCTGACAAGTCCGTTTTAATGGTTCCCTTTGGTCAACTTCTTCTGCTCTTCATTCGTCTCTGTTTCTTCCTCTTGCCATCTTCTTTGTGTCTTGCTTAGAAAACTGGGGACTCTTAGCCACTGGTGACCCAAGATTCATCCTGCTCCTTCTCCTGCCTATAAATATTCCAAGATCCACATATGGTAAGAGCATTAACAGGCTAATTCATTTTCTGAGAATGGGCACTGAATGATTGGAAAGGCAGAACATTCTGTGCTCTGAAGTTGTACTCCTCTGCTAAGGCTTCTTCATCTTCTACACAATTTATTGTTAAGAACTTTAACAGGCCATCTTATTCAACTTCGATTCTTTCTTCTACTCTCTGTAGTGATGTTTCTGCCATTAACTATTTTAGTCACAGTTGATGTGAATTCGATTTATCTATCCCACAATCACCAAATAATGTAGAAGAGAAGAAAGTTGCCCCACTGAACCAAAATGAAGTAAATCTTGTATCAAATGAAAAAAAGTCTACTTCCAAAACCTGGAAATCAACTCACAGAGAAAAAGGGTCTTACACCTCTGCTTCCATTTCTCTCAATTCCTATTTGACTTCAAAAAATGCCTCAAATGAATTTTCAAAGAAGTCAAACGAAAATGAGTCCCTTCTACCAAAAACTATCCTGAAGACATCATCTGTGTTCTGGAATGTGAATCCATATTCAAATGGATTAGCAAAATGACTTCCACCTTCACTTTTGCCATTGAATCCTTCCTTTCTTTGTTGTTGTTGTTGCTGTTTAAGCATCTGATAACTCCTTATATGCCCCAAGTACTTGTTTGAATTTCCTTTCCTCTTTATTTTCAGTATTTTTATTTGGGTATCACTTAATTGCCAATCTTTATGCCTTTTTATATATGCCTTTTTAATATCCTCAGGTATGGCATGTCTCTGCACACCTTAATCCACTGTGTTTTAATAGTTTGTTGGAACAAGTCCTTTGCAGGAAGCACCAGATAGTCAAGCAAATACTTTGGCCTGTCCAGTGCCAAGTAGTGTTGGCAGCTAGTGATGAGGTTAGAAGGAGAGGCTAAGCAGTGGGGCCCCCAAGTCTCCTCTAGGCTCTGGAAATTCTGGTGGTATTGAGGGTGGTGGCAGTGGTAGAGACAGAGGTAATTCCTCTTAACAAGCACTTTAAAATGAATCACAGGCTGTTATTAGATACATAACCATGAAGCGAAGCTAAAATAGTACTAAAATATATACACAATGAAATTCTAAACAAGCTATATTTATCACCCACAATAAGAAAACCTATTTACTGAGTACCAACTATGTGACAGTCACTTTGCTAGGCTCTGAGAACACAAAGATCTGGTTCTAGTCTTTAATGAGCTCAAAACCTAATTGAATAGAGAGGCACAGAACATACATAACAGCCTAAATGATAAGACAAATAGCACATGAATGTACCAAATGAATTGTATAGATAAACGTCATAGTGCTCAGTGCAGAGAGAGAACACTGAAGTCTGGGAAGAGAATGGAAGGCTTCTAGAAAGAAGTGGGACTTGAACAGGGTCTAAAAAGACAAGTAGGACTTTGATAAACAGACTAGTGAAGAAAGTGATTTCTAGCAGGAGGAATTATGTAAATAAAAGCAAGGGGCAGAAATGTGTGGGGTGTTGGGACAACAATGAATAGACCAGTTTGATGGGAGAATGGAATTAATAGTAGTTAAGTCTGGAGAAGTCAGTATAAGGCAGCTTGGGGAGGGGTCTGAACGAAAGGTAAAAGAGTATAGGGGCAGCTAGGTGGCAAAGTGGATAGAGCACCGGCTCTGAAGTCAGGAGGACCTGAGTTCAAATGCGGCCTCAGACCAAACACTTGACACTTAGTAGCTGTGTTGACTCTGGGCAAGTCACTTAACCCCAATTGCCTAACTAAAAAAAAAAAAAGAGCATGGACACTTCTTGTAGGCATGGCAGCACTGAAGATTTTTGTGAAGGGGAATTACATATGCAAAGCAACATATTAGGTAAGACTGCTTTGTCAAGGATAATGAGCAGGGTGAGACTAGAGGCAAGAAGACAAGTTACACAGGTAATGCAATAATTCAGGCATTAGGTGAAGAGAATCTAGCTTAAGGGAATAGTAGTGAGAATAGAAAGAAAAGGAATAATACAATAAATACTATGACCTGAGAAAATTTGTATTTGGAGTCAAGGACATACTCCAGGCATGAGACAGAAATCAGATGATTTATGGAGCCAAAATCTGAAGGATGCAGAAGGCCATGAGACTGATAGCACACATTAGATTAGCATAGGATGAGTGGATGGAGTAAATTCCCAAAGTAAATCCCAACCTCATGATTTAGGATTTTCTCAGGATTTGATAAATAAGGCATGTCTCCAGCTATCTACAAATGGTTAAAGGTGAAGTTCTTAACATTCTAGAGTCTCCAGCTATGTCTCACCTGTACTCTTGTCCTTTATAGCACTTCCCAGAAATCTCAAGCCATGTAGTCTCCACTTGAGTCATCATTACAATTTCCTCCCCATCAGAAGATTGGAGCCCACCCCTAGAACCACCCTGGACTTTTTTGTTTGTTGTTTTTTTTTTTTTGTTTTGTTTTTGTTTCTGTTTTTCTTACTTCATTCCATTTGGTCCCTCATGAAGTGACTCTTTTCCTCCCCAAAGTCTATCCTTCTCTCTATGTATCCTTGATCACATCTCTTCTCTGCTTTTCCAGAGTACCATCCTCACAGTATTCCCCTCCTCATTTTCAATCTTTTCCCCTCCACTGATTCTTTCCCATGTGCCCAACCCTCCTCCATTCTAAAACAAAACAAAACAAAACAAAATAAAATAAGCTCACTATTTGCCATCCCCTTGAGCTATTATCCTAACTCTCCTCCCTTTCACAGTCAAATTCTTTATTTTTTGTTTAGGTCACCACCATTCTTTTAGTAATCTAATTTTGAAACCACAGACTTATCCAACATATCCAATTAGTTTCCAAATCTTTTTTTTTTCTTTAACCTCCAAAACATGTCTTGTATCTATCCCTTCTTTCTCTTCACATGGCCATAACCCCAGTTGAGGCCCAATGAAGGAGGATTTGTCCAGGCAATAAACTTGCAATATTGCAAGAAACTTCTAATTAGTCTTCTTGACTCAAACCTCTTTGCTATTGGATAGCATTCTCCACATAGATGTCAAAATGTTATTTTTTCCTAAAGTACAGGTTTGACTACATCACTCCCCTATTCAATTAATTAGAATGGTTCCCTACTGCCTCTAGGATTAAATACAAACTTGACTGTTTAGCTTTTGCTGCCATCAAAACAAGGCTCCAAACTAATTTTCCACCATTATTATATATTCATTATTCTCTCTTCTGTACTTTGTGGTCTAGATTAAGCCAGCTTTCTCGCTCTTCATACAGGGTAGTCTATTCTGTACCTCTGTGTCTTTACACTGGTCATCTCCCATGCCTACAGTACATTCTTTCTTTACTTCTGCTCTTTGAATCATTTATTCCTTTCAAAAGTCCAATCAAGCAACACCTTGGACATGAAGCCTTTCCTGATTGCCTCAGAAGTCAGTGCCTCATCCCTCCAAATTTACTTTATATTTATTTACTCTGGATATCTTTATTTATATTCATATTATCTACCACCAATAGAATGCAAGCTGCTTGAAGGCAGAGATCATTCCATTGTTTCATATTCCAAGTAACCATCATGGTACTCGGCACATAGTTCCCCAAAAAAATGTTTACTGATTGATGCAATTTGAGGCAGATGAATAATCTTTTAAAAATCTGATTAAACATACGTACATTAACAACCAAGAATTCCAGCCAGCACCAGACATTACTGAAATATGTTTTATATCCATATGCCATCCATTTTAGAAGCATCTCTAAAATGAAGATATAAGTGAAGATCATGTCGCCATATTCTAGAATAATTTTGATAGTCTTTCTCTTTTCAATGTATATATCTTCAAAGATCTGTGTACAAATAAGGCAAATTATTAATACATGTACAACTTGTAATTTATAATGATAGGGGAAAAGGAAATGATTTCTTGTTAAAGACATATTGGAAATGAGGCTAAAGTCATGGGTTCAATCAACCATTTAAGTCTGTTAGCTCAATGTTGCTTTCAGGAACACAACTAAGATCCTGAGCTAGTCATCTTACAACTTTATACCTTGGTTCACCATATTCCCACTCAGAAAGAATGTGCAGAGATCACAAAATACTGTCCAACTAATTTTACCTCAAGAAACAATAATTATGTTTGTCAGTAACAGGAAAGAGGGAGGGGAAAGAATAAGGGAAACATGCATTCATTAAACATTAACTGCATGCCATTCACTGGGCTAAATGCTTTACTTATTTTACTTATTTAATCCTTATGGTAATTCTGTGATATAGATGCTATAATTATCTTGTTTTATAGATGAGGGAATGGAGGTAGACAGAAGTTAAGTGAATTGTCCAGGGCCAAACAGCTAGCAAGTTACTGAAGCTGGATTTGAACTCAGGCATTCCCGATTCTAGGCTCATAGCTCTATCCATTTTGCCATCTAACTGCCTCAATGAGGCAAGGACAGGGGATTAAAAAATGTGGGAGATAGAGAGATGAATGAGCTTCCAGAGGAGATGGAATCAAGTGCATAAGTGGAGAGGCTGTCCTTGGCAAGGAGAAAAGATGCCTCTCTTTTTCAGAGATTGGCAAAAAGGAGGAGAAAATAAAGTACAATAAAAAATTGAGTTGCTAAGAGAAGAGGAAACTTACAGTGCATAGCTTTGCTTATTTTCATAAAGTAGGAGGTGAGGTCCTCTGTTAGACAGAACAGTGGACAGAGCACTGGGCCTGAAGTCAGCTAGTCAGCAAGACCTGAGTTCACAACTGACTTTAAATGCTTATTACCTGTGCGACTCTAAGCAAGTCATTTAACTTCTATCTGCCTCAGTTTCCTCAGCTGTAAAATGGCAATAATAATAGCACCTACCTTTGAGGGTTGATGTAAAGATCAAAGGAGATTTGATATGTATACACACACACACACAATATATATATATGTGTGTGTATGTATATACACATATACATATATAATATATATGTGTGTATGTATATATATTATATATATATATATATATATCACTTAGCATAATGACTGGCACATAATAGGCACTGAATAAATTATTGTTTCCTTCTTTCCTCTACTGGGGAGCAAGGGTGTTAGGAGGGATATGAGAAAGTGAGAAAATAATTTTAGGAATAAATGTTCCCATCAATTTCATCCTTGCTTGCTATTTCACTTACCAAAGCAACACAGCTGAGAAAGATGATGAGAACTATGGAAATCTCAAAGCACGCGTGTTTTACCGTCCTATAGCAGGTTTTCCTTAGGTTCCACCAAATCTTTCCTTTCCTAGATTTCACATTGGCTTCACAGTAAGGGAACCTTCTTATACAACCTATTAAGAGTAACATTGTAATTAAAACCAAAACATCAGATGATGGATTAAATAACTCTTTTCAGGCCCCAAATTTAATTTCAGTAGCTGTTTGTCAAATTTTCATCTACTATCTCTACTGATACAAGAAGCTCCTGGAAGAGAAAAAGGAGAGAGTTCAGAACATGATTTTTTTCCATGAGCAATGGCTCCCCCCACAAATGTGTGGTAATTGTGGTGGTAGTGAGACGTATGGCACATGAGAGAAAGACACCAAAGGGCACCTGAAACAAGTAAGGCAGCCCCTCTGCACTCTCTTTCTCTTAGATTGCACTGGAAGCAAGGAGCTCAGTTCTGGTGGGCATATTTTTGGAAAGAAAATTAAAAAGTTTCAACATTCCCAAACTAGGAGTTACCAGGATTCTGAAAGGACTGTATGTCATGACATGAAACAATCAATTGAAATAACTTGAATATTTATCATAGAAAAGAGAAGACCTAGTAGGACGCAGGAAGAATACTATCAATAGATCATTAGAAGAGAACTATCATTTGTTAGCATTTCACACTACTGCTATAAGGATGTAAGTAAAACTATCACTTTATTTAAAGGAGGCTGATACCTACAGAACCAATGTAAAAAAATTATAGTGACTACATGAAATCAGAGTTTGTTTCCAAGAAGTGAAAGAAGATGACAAAGTTTTCCCAAAAAACTTAGTTGTTCATGAATTTTTAGAGAAACTTGAGAATTAGTTGGAAATTTTTTAACTACTAGACACCTTAATGAATATATATATATATATATATATATATATAGTGATACAAAGAAAGGCAAAATCTGTCACTATTCTCAAAGAGCTCACAGTCTAATGAAGAAGAAAACATGCAACCAACTATGTACAAGTAATTTCTATATATAATAAATTGGAGATAATCTCAGAGAGGAAGCACTAAAATTAAGGACTGGGAAAGGCTTTTTGCAGAAGTTTGGATATTAGCTGACATTTGAAGGAAGACAGGAAAGTCAGGAGGCAGAGACAAGGAGGGAGGGAGTGTCAGCCATGGGAGATAGCCAGTGAAAATACTGAAAGATCAGAGATGGAATGTTATGTTCGAGTAACAGCAATGTTCACTGGATTATGACATATTTGGAGGGGAGTTAAGTCATAAGAAGAATGGAAAGGTAGGAAGGAGTCAGATTATGAAGGGCTTTAAAAACTAACAGATTTTATATTTGGTTCTGGAGGAAATAGGGAGCCACTGGAGCTTATTTAATAGGAAGGTGACATGGTCAGACTTGCACTTTATGAAAACTGATTTGATAGCTAAGAGGAGGATGGATTAGAATGGGAAAGAGATTTGAGCAGGAAGATCAATGAACAGACCACTGCAGTGGAGTCCAAGTGTGAAGTGATGAGGGTTTGAACTAAGGTGGTGAAAGTGTCAGAGAAGAGAAGGTGGCATATATGAGAGACTTTACATAAGTAGGAAGATAGGACATGGCAAATGACCATTACTGGGGTGGGTAAGAGATTAAGGAGCCAAGGATGACACTTAGACTGTCAGTTGAGGTGATTGGGAAAATGGTGGTGCCCTTGGCAATAACAGGGAAGTTAGAAAGAGATGAGGGTTTTGGGGAAAAGATAATGAGCTCAGTTTTGGATATACTGAATATAAGATATGATGTCTAAAAGGCAGTTGGAGATACAAGTTTGGAAGCTGAGGAGAAAGGTTAGGATTGGACAAGTAGATATGAGAGTTTTATACATATATATGTATATGTATATGCATACACATACTAATATACATATGTGTATATGCATATATATATGTGTGTGTATGTATATATTACTAATTAAAATCTTGGAGCTGATGAGATCACCAGATGAAATAAAAGAATAAGAAAGAAAAGAGAAGAAGGCCTAAGACAGAGCCTTGGCAGACAACCATGTTTGGTGGGCTTGGCTTGAATGACGATATATCAAAGGAAATAGAGGAGTGGTTAGGAGAAGCAGGAGAGAATAATGTCACAAAAACCTAAAGTGAAGATATTATCAAGAAGATGATGCTTATTGGTAGTGTCAAAGGCTTCAGAAATCAAGAAGGATGAAGACTGAAAAAAGGCTGATAGAGAGCATTAGTAACTCTGGAGAGAGCAATTTCAGTTGAAGGATAAGGTTAAGGTCAAATTGTAAAGAATTAAGAAAGTGAAAGAAAATAAAGTGGTGATGAATTCTTCAAGGAATTAAGCCAAAAAATGGAAGATGGGCTAGCTAGTGGGGACGGACAGATAAAGCCAATTTTTTTTTGAGGAGGAGCAGATATGGGCATGATTATATTCAGAAAGGAAGCAGACAGTGATGGAATGAAGATCAGTGAAAAAGTGGGGATAATAGAAGGGGTAATATGTTGGCAAAAAGGATGGAATAGGATCACTTGTGCATGATGAAGAGTTTATTTTAGCAAGGAGAAGAGTCACATCGTTATTTTAGACAGAGGTGAAAGATGTGATAACGGCAGATGACATTTGAATGATGTAAGATGAGGAACAGGGAAGAAAAGGGAGCTTTCTGTGAATAGTTTCAGTTTTTTCAGTGAAATATAAAGCAAGGTCCTCAGCTATGAGGGATTGTGGGAATATGGCAGTGTTAGATACCCAGATCTCCCACGAACAGTTCAGAGAAGATCTAAAAATATACTAGTTTTAAAAAAGGAATGAGGAGAACACTTGTAAATCCCTTCACTGAGTCCAGGGCTCCATAGAAAGACGGTGACAATCATGCAGAAACCCTGAAGTAGACACATAAGTGTAAGTGAAAGTACTATAGTAATAGGAGAGGAGCTTCAAGCCCAGCCCAGCAAGGGAGAAGGCTTAAAGTCTCTCCGTAAAGGAACAGTTTTTGTTGTCATTGACTTGTTTCAGTAATGTATGACTCTTAGTGACCCCATTTGGGGTTTTCTTGGCAAAGATACTGGAGTGGTTTGCCATTTCCTCCTCCAGCTCATTTTACAGATGAGAAAACTGAGACAAACAGGGTTAAGTGACTTGTCCAGGGTCACACAGCTACTAAATGTCTGAGGCCAGATTTGAACTCAGGATGATGAGTCTTCCTAAGTCCAAACCTGGCAATATATCCATTGTGCCACCTAGCTAGGAATAGTCTTAGGCAAAGCTTAATAATGAGTAGTCTCAGAGCATTCCAGCAACACGGGAAAGGAGGAGAAAGGCCCTGAGCCAAGCAGAGTGTAGAAGTGTCTGGAGTCCTACAGTAGCATGAGGAAAAGGCCTCCACAACAAGATTATCTTAAGCTCTGGCCACAGCAGTATTAAGGCCTTAAATAGCATCCACACAACCCACATATGATCTATAAAAAGAGACAAGGACAAATAATTTCTGTAGGATATCCTTAAGCTCCCCTTAGAAATGAACAATGGTGAAGTTTCCCATTAGAGCTTATTGCTTTATCCTGCTACCTCTAGCTTGTGAAGGGAAAGGAGGTAAAGTTTAGCAGCCCTTTGGTAACCTGGTGAGCTCAATTAATGTGATGATCAGAGTTGTGGAGTTGTAATCTCCATCTGATTGGACAACACAACATCCTGATGAGTTAATAACTGGCTAGCCTAGTTTGTAAGTCTCAGAGAGAGTCAGTTTGATGAACTTTTCAGTTTTTTAGCTTAAAGAGAACTTCAAGTCACATTGAGCTAACATCTTCTAAACTCACCTTTACTAGCAATGGTTAATTGAAAGATTTCTTAAATGTTATATGCAAGTCAAGAAGAAAAGCTAATTTCCTCATCTGAAGACTGGTTAGCCAAGCAATGATCAGAGACGCAGTCATGTGTCATGTAGATTTTCCTGCCTGTACTAATAACATTGAAGCTTATAGTCAGGACTTGAAAGTTACCCTAAGCAGATGAATTTTTTACCCTCAGGTGCTTCCTGTCAGATTTCTGCTTGAGTGGGACAATTCTTCACCAAGAGATATTGAGTGCATTCATGGGAGTTTAGGATCTGATTTATAGGTGTATTTTGATATATTTTGTTCATTTATGCATTTGTTTTAATGTATCAGTATCTACAATATCATTGTTTCTTTTGTCTTATGGCTAAGTAAATAGTTTGTTGAAGATAAAAAAATCTATTATTGTGAGAGATTATAGATAGAAACATATTGGATCGGTGCTAAGGAGTTAAAATAACAAGTAGAGAGAGTGTATTTCCTTTGAGCAGTGTTACCCCTAGAACCCTGGAAGAATTTCAATGTAACCATATATGGTGAATGTCTATTTCTGGAAATATCTGCCAGGGTGACTCTATGTTAAAACCAATAAGTGAAATCCAAAGAGCAGTGGGTGTCACAAATGACTAAGTGAGAGGGATGAATTACCTACACAGTGTGAGTTTTGTTTATGCCCACTTTGTCTAGATCCCACCTATAAAGCTGCTCATCATATGACACTTAGAAAAATTAGGACTATCCAAAAGTGGAACGATCTGTTTCAGGAGGTTACTTAGTTCCATATCACTGAAGGTTTTCAGGAAAAAAGCAGTTGACCACTCGTCAGTTACACTAAAGAGAGGATTCTCAGTCAGGTATGGGTAGGACTAGATGATCATTGGAATCTCTCCCAACTCTGACCTACTAGGGTTCTAAGATTTTACACTCCCTTCTTCACAGGGTTATTGTGAAAATACTGCTTTGTAAACTCTCTATCACTGAATAAATGAAAGTTTTAAAACTAATATAAGTGTGGGAAATGCTGATAATACTTTTGGAAAGAAATAAAAAGTGGGGGGGAGGAGAGAAGGGAACTTTTGTGTCCAAAATGTTGAGGGAAAAATCACAAGGAGCAAGAAAAACAGAAAAAGAAAACAGCAGAAAAGAGGGAGACATAGACAAGAGAAAGAACGAGAGAGGGAAGGAAGAAAAGAAAGGGAGAGGAGGGAGGAAAGGAAGGAGGGAGAGACACAGAGAGAAACTTATTTTTTAGCATTAATAGCTATTCAATATGAAGCTAAACAAAAAAAATGTGCAAGGCACATCTGTTTTGCATGTAACTATCACAGTGGAAGATCATTTACTATTTTTAAAAGATTTTCATAATTTGTACTGTTTTCATTCATATTGAGATAGAAAAACTTAGTCATTACTTTCATAATCAAGAGAAGGAAAAACAATACACATCCCATAAATGAGAAAAGCAAATTTTAATTTGAGATTAAAGTTAATAAATAATGGTCACATAAATCACCTGAAAAGTACTTCTTTCTTTTATTGGCATTGGAGTGCTCATATACCTAGCTGAATTTTAAGAAAAAAACTCACTAAATGTTAATGGAAAATCACATGAAATTTTAAGGAGTCCCAATAAAAAAACTGCATTTCTTATGGGGAGGGTGATAGTTGATCATTAAAAATAAATCATTTATCGACACTGACAAATATAACACATTTTTATTCAACTTTTTGGGAATTTTGAAACCCTTCACAATTCCTTTGCTTTAAATTTACTTTCTCTCAATAAGAACATAATAATTTCCTAAAGCTTATGTTCTATAAAATAGGCCGAGAACTGGATTCTTGCATGATACAAGTTACATCAAGATACATCAGTTCTGTTGTTGGCTGGATCCTGAATATAAATTGGGAAGTTTTGCCAGCTCATTTCAAATATAAGTGGTACTCTGCCATGAACTCAGAGAATGGCAATATTGAACTACTGAAAGTAATGATATCTATGTAATATGTTGTAATTATACCATTTCTTCTTCTACCTTCCAATTCCCCAGTTACACACACACAATGCATATAGTACCATATATATGATAGAATCCTGTCAATATTTGGCTGTAATTAAAGAGACGTGAAGTAATTAAATCTATGAATTTCTATGAAATAAGGAAGTAAGAATGAAGAAGGGTGGTAAAAGAATAAAACTAAACCACGTAAATTTGAATCTTTGTGAACTGAAGTCTGAGGGCATAAAGAGTTTACAATGAAAAAATATAGGGAAGTAGGAAACATGGGAAAACTTTATAAGAAAGTATCTGTTATATGATATCAAAAAGACCTCTGGATTTTGGTTGTGGTGTTCCTGGGAGTTTTCATTTTGGGATTTCTTTCAGGAACTGACTAGTGGATTCTATTTTCACTTTGACTTCTTATTCTAATTAGTCCAGGCAGTTTCACTCCTGGTTTCTTGAAATATTATATCCAGGCATTTTTTTGGTCATGATTTTTAGGTAGTTTGATGTTTCTTACATTATCTCCTTTTGGCCTGTTTTTCAGGTCAGTTGTTTTTGATAGTAAAACTTTGCTTCCTCTCTATTTCTGTTTAATCTTTTCATTTTTAAAAATATTTCTTATGTTTATGACAGTAAGTGATATAACTTACGAAGCCATGCAGCTGGAATAGTAATGCATAGTTTAAAATGAAAGTATTATAAATTTTATTATTATTAATGATTAATAGTAAGTTCAAAACAATAGTATAAAATTCTAACCATGGGAATCTGTGTTCCACTTACCATATGTAAAACAGGCTCCTGGTTCATCTGATTTCAGAGGTTTATCCACTGCTTGTTCTCCTTCCCCAGAGGCAAGGATGGGAGCCATGCTATCTTCTGAGGAACTAGTTTGTTTGAGGTTCTAAAATCCATGCCCATCCCCCAAGAAAAAGGAAGTTTTAATCTTTTGATTGACTTAAGTTTATTTCAATGTCATTTCATTTAAAAAAAGAAACATATGCTAAATATCAATAATGGAAGTGCGGCATAAAAGTATAGAACTATACATTATGGTTAAAATAGAACCAACCCTACAGGTATATTCACACTTGACTTTTCTTTCCACCCATACCTGTGCATTGCATTTGGTGATAGCATGGAATCATCACCAGTTCCACCTGGTCCTTTTTGTGTTTTGCTCCAAGGTCATGATTCATATAGACCATGAGCCACGATGGGCATACACAAAAAAGCCAAAAGAAATTTTCAAACATTAAATCAAAGAGTAGAATGAGTTCAGGGAGTTGCAGCTTGGGGAGAATAATAGAAATTCAAAAGACAGAACTAATTTAAACCTGAGTGTTTCTACTCACTTTCAGTGATAAAAGTAAAGAGAGGTTTTGAATGGAAATTGGAAATAGGACTGCAAGTTAGCATCTCCCACATGTTACTTGGCTATAAATATTCCCACTCCCAACAATGCTGTGAGTGCCAGTGAGAAAGAGGACACCCATATAAATGAAGAGATTTTCTTGTTGCTTATTTTGCTATACTGTTTAATTATTTTTTTTCTTTGAACTAATGTGCCATCTGATGACAGAAATATAAGTGAGAACTCATGTGCTATGATTTTTGAGAAGTTAACCAAAATACGCCTGGAATTCGGCTTTTAGGGAAGACACACATATGATAGAATCCTGAGCTTCAGATAGAAAAGAATAATCTTCTTGACACTAACTCAATTCTATTAAACCTAAATTTACTAAGTACTTACTATGTTCAAGTTATTTTTTTAGGGGCTGAAGAAGATACAAGGACACATAAAATATATTATCTGCCCTCTGGAAGTGTACAATGCATTAGGATGTATAATATAGGCACTCGAATAACTATTATACAATTTAGAAATGAATAAATGAATAGAAGAAGTAGTTTTTCCAGGAATGAATCCCATTCGACAATCTAAACCTCACCTGGGAACATAGGCTAAGAGAAGACAAAGGGAGTGAGTCTCAGACTTGCCCTCAGAAAAGTTAGGGCTAGAACTAGGAATGGCCTAGAGGAGTTGAAATTGGAAGGATATTCCAAGAATCATCGGAGAGGAATGATAGGAAGATACTCCAAAGTCCCTCTTGAGACCTGTATTTCTCATGACTGCCAACATGTCAACATCTATTCATCCAGACTTGCTAGTTTCTAAAGCAAGGGTGCCTATGGCCTAGGTGCTCAAATAGTTCATGCTATGTTTTGAATAATTAGAAAGGGCGAAAAGTTCCTACCCAAAATTTAGAAGAAAAAAGTCCAAAAAAGGAAATCAGGAAGGAAAACAAATATCCTAAGTTTCATGTTCATCCTTGCTTTGTTTGGGGAGCGCAGCAAGTAACAGGTCTTGCCACAGATTAAGTGTTTTGCACAATGTAGTTTTCTGAACTGAGGTTGGAAAGTTTCCAATAAAGAAAAGGACTGAGAAGTGTCAGGTCACTCATGTAAACAAGAGCTGGTTAAAGATGAATGCTGAGTTGAGGAGCTAGAGGCAAGAAGCAAACTCCAGATTAAATAAGTCAACAGAGTTTGAAGAACAAGTAAATAGAAGTGGTCTTCATGGTAGACAATACGATTTGATGCTAGCAAAACAAAGTGAGTTTAGCCCCTTTGCAACCACAGATAAAGGGAGAATGGTTAACCAAACTAGTAACAGAGATAATGACAAAAGATAAAACAGATAATTTAAGTCACATAATACTGAAAAACTCTTCCACGAACTAAATAAATGAAAATAGAATAAGAAGAGGAAATAATTTTCCATTAGACAGATTGGAGGAATTCCTTAGATTCAGGTGACCTAGATTTCTCCTTTGGCACAAGACAGAAATATTTGGGCTAGATGATAGTGTAGGTGATTGGATCTGGAACTCTTTGAATGATCACATTAGAAGAAAAGGCATTAATGGTTCAACAGAATTTGGAAGGAAGTCTCTAGCACAGGTGCTTAGGTACTAACCCTTAGTACTGTCACCATTTTTTTTTAGTAACTTGGATAAAGGCATTTGTGTAATCAAATTAACAGATGACATGAAACTGGGAAGGACTGCCAACATGTCAAATGAAAGGCAGTATTCAAAATTAATTGTATAGATTAGAATAATATGTTAAATATGTGAAGGAATAAATGCAAAATCCTAAATTTGCTTTTACAATGACAACAACAACAACAACAAAACAGATCCATGATAGGGAATTGTGGATGGCCAACAATTCCTCTCAAAATTTTTGGATGATTTCAGAAGAATGGAAGCTATGAGTAAACAGTGTGATGATGACCAAAAAAGCAGATGCAGTCTTAGCCTGCGTCTAGGAAAGAAGAGTACCTGGGAAATGAGAGGTTGTAGTCCTATTATACTCTGCCTTGGTCAGGCCATATTTTGAGTGCTGTGTTTAAGTTCTAGGGAATTGGATTTTAAATAAAATATTGGCAAGCTAGAGAATGTCCAGAGGGAGTTGGCCAGAATGAGAGCTCTCATTATATGTGTGTATGTATGTATGTATGTATGTATATACATATGTTTGTATGTATACACACACATATATACATACATGTATGTATGCATGTGTATATATACACACACAAAGATCAGTTGAATGACTAAAAACAAAGAAAAATGAAGAGAGTTATCTTTAGGTATCTGAAAGATTCTTATGTGGAAGAGGGATTCAATTTGTCCTGTATGGTCCCAGAGGGCAGAGCAAGAAACTATGGGTAGAAATTAGAGAGTGGGTAGGTTTTGGTTTGATCTAAGGAATTTTGTTTTTACATAAACCATGAGAGAATTTGGCTGCCTTGGGACATGGTGGTTCCCTCTAACTAGCAATCTTCACATAAATACTATAAGATCACATTGAGGAAATGTTGTGGGGGGACTGCCAGAACAGGTACTGCTTGAAATAAATTCCCTCTAAGGTTCCTTCTAACACTACTATTACATCAATTCTATAGGGAATTCAACCATATCATTTAACTTGTTGCAGACCCATATGTGCTAATATACCTTACTGAAGACAACTCACATGCCCCTAATCATGGGGCTTGTTTCTGACACAACCATGTCTACCCTTATTCATCAGTACTTCCACTACACTTGATTCTCTCCTTATGCTAGGTAAGTGTATCCAATCTCTCCCTTTCTGAGTTTGTCATTAGAAATTTATGCATTTACTCCTACCATATGTTACTCACTCTATCTTATCCAAAGTGAAGAGGGAACAGGGAGCAAGTCATACACTGGTGAGCAGGCATGGATGGATTATAATATACATCACAAGTATCATAGCATCACTAATATAGAGAATCACTGAATGTATAATAATATTTTGTCAGAGTTGCATTGAAAGGCAGTAGAGGAGAGAGAGGCAACCTTCTGTGATGAGTGCAAATTCTACCCTTATACAGACTGGTTATATGACCCAGGGCAAGCCGTTTAACATCTCAACATCCCAACCAACTCTCTAAGGATACTAGCTGCTAAATTGTTGCCAATCTGCACTTCCTGAAGGTGTTCCTTCCCTGGAAGATTCCTAAACTGAGGAAATCACAGTTGCGGGCCCTTAAGTCATCATAGGTTTTTTCATTTGATGAATATTAATTGTATAACTATTATCATATAGGCTGTAGTCCATGAAATTCTCTGCTATTAAAAAGGAGTCTATCCTTGAAGACCTTAAACCATATTGCTTCTATATCAAATAATAATAATATAAAAAATACTGCATGAAACATTTCTTACCTCTTTGCTGTTTTCAGTGTCCAATTCATTCTTAAATTCTTTGGTATAGCCATTTTCAAAATCAGATTTTCCATAAGCAATTGGTGCTCGTCCTGAGAAACTAGGATTGGGAATAAGTGAAGGAGAATCACTTTTGTTCCTGACATATTTCTCCAAGCTGATTCCAGTGCTATGGATTCTATCTTTATAATTCTGGAAATTTTTGTTCACATCATTAACTGTGTGGTGGGATGTGACATTCTCCATATTTAGATTTTTCTCTTCTTTGATATCATTTGAAATCATCTGCTTCTTAGAAAACCTTTTTGCAATCAGGTCAAGTAAAGTTCGTCTCACATAATGTATTCCTTTCTGAATCCTTGCCATTGCAAGCTGGAGATTATTAGATTCAGGGCTCACTTGGATTGCTGCAAAGTTCTCTGAACTAAATGAGCTCAGAAAAGCCACAAACAGGATCAATAACTAAATGGGGAATTAAAAACAAGGAGCTTAGATTATAAATGCATCTCTTGTGTTCTGAAAAAAAAAAACCAGTAATTTCTTTTAAATGTGTATTGCAGGTCAAAGTACAGACAAAACGAATGCAATGAAGGCAAATCTGCTCCTTCTCTTCAGGGGAACACACACATCCATTATACATATTATATATGTGTTCAGTGTAGTTATTAAGATTTCAACACTCAAGAAACATGCACATAGAAGCAGAGTCATAACCCATAATAATCTTGCTCAGGACCAGGGCCTCAGGTGCCAGGTACAGTGAAAGGAGGCTGGCCTTGGAATCAGTAAGACTTCAGATAATTACTAGCTATGTGAACCTAGACAAATAATTTAACCTCTCTGGCCCTCAGGTTCATTATCTTTGAGTAAGAGTATTGGATTTGGCCTTTAAGTTCCTTTCCAACTATAATCTATAATTTTATCTTTTTATACAAAGCTAAGTATACACTCCAGCTTTATCTTTTCTTAGGCATTCCTACTGCCTTTAATGGGAAATAGGAATTGGTTCTGAGTTTAGTCAAACCCTTGAGGGTGTGATCACTGAGAATTGATTTACCCATACATTCTACAGAATACGCTAACTCAATCCTTTCTTCACACTTCACATTTTACTGAGAAAATGGAATCCACTTGCATGAGTTCCCTTTTCTCTTTCTCTCCACATTTCAAAACCCATTGATATTGCCCCACCCCCTTCTCTTCTGATCTACTCCTATTTCTGAAAAAGAGGCAGTCCTTTTGCAGAAGGACAGTTCTTTCTACAGGTATTCTTGGTAACAGCTATCCACTTTTGTCTTTTACAGAAGATTGTCCTACAATCATCCTGTACCTTGATCCTATGGCTAATTATTCCTTATATACTGGTTTCTTCTCTGATACTTACATAAACACCCAAGTCTCCACCAACCTTAAAAAATCCTCACTCCACTCTAAGAACTCTTCAAGTTCTCACCTTCTATCTCCTCTCCATTTCACTACCAAGCTCATAGAAAAAGTGGATTATACTTGTTGCTACCTCTCCATCTCCTCTCATTCACTTCTCAATCCTTTGCAATCTAGCTTCTAATATCATCACTAAACTGAATCTTTCTCCAAAAATACTGTTGGCATATTTGACAGATCTCTGAAGATAAAAAGCCGACATATTATACCTGCAAGTTTTTGGACTATAAAAATTATTTTAAAATGAACCCTGAAGGGGGCAGCTAGGTGGTGCAGTGGATAGAGCACCAGCCCTGAAGTCAGGAGGACCTGAGCTCAAATCCGGCCTCAGACCAAACACTTGACACGTACTAGCTGTGTGACCTTGGGCAAGTCACTTAAACCCGACTACCTCACTAAAAAAAAAAATGAACACTGAAGGTCAAAGAAGAGACAAAAATCAAAATCTCTTCATCAACTTTTCTCAGTCCTCATCATTTTTTGCCTTTCTTCAGTTTATGTTGAGGAAATGAAATGGCTAAGAGTTAATGACTGATTGTATATGTGAGGTGAGGGAAAATGAGGAGTCAAGGAAAATACTAAGGTTTCAAACTTGGGAAACTGAAAGGAAGGTGGTATCTTTGAAAGTAATGCTAACATTCAGAAGAGGAGTGGGTTTGAATGGAATTTTAATGAGTTATCTTGGGGGATATGTTAAATTTGAAGTATCTTTGGAATACTCAGTTTGAATTGCCCAAAATACAGTTGATGATATGTCACTATAGCTGAGGAGAGATCCTAGCACTTGATGTATAGATCAGGGAGTTATCATGGTAATTGATGAGGTCACCAAGTAGAAAAGTATATATAGTGAAGAAGAGATCAGTATAGAGACTTTGGTTATATTTTGAGTTTCTGTTGTTCAGTCATTTCGGTCATGTCTAACTCATTGTGACCGTGTTGGCAAATATGCTGCAAAGGTTTGCATTTTCCTTCTCCAACTCATTCTACAAATAAGAAAACTGAGGCAAGCAGGATTAAGTGATTTGCCCAGGGACACACAGCTAGTAAGTGTCTGAGGCCAGATCTTAACTCAAGAAGGTGAATCTTCCTGACTCCAGGCCCAACAACTCTATCCACTGTACCACCCCGTTGCCCCGCTTTTATAGTTAGGGATGTGTTACGCATCATGAACTAGCAAAGGAGAAAGAGAAGGTATGGTTAAACAGATAGAAGGAGAACCATGAGAGAATACAAAAACTCAGAGAAGAGACACTATTCAGGAGGAGAGCGTGGTCAACAGTCACCCCACATATACAATCAGTTGCCATTTCTTGTCCATTCCACTTCCTTAACAGTTCTTGGATATGTTCCCTTCTTTCTATTCACATAGCCACCACCCTAGTTAAAGACCTCATCAGCTCAAAGCTTGATTGCCTCAATAGCCTCTTAATTAATCTTCTTCCTTTCCTTCACTTGACATATCTTGGAGTTGCCAGACCTGCCTTTCCTATCTTGTGAAAAAGTGTTATAGATTCTACCTCCACAATATCTCTAATATCTCCATGACACGTCTCCTCTCAAATGACTACAATTCTTCATTAGCTGCTCAATACCTCACTTGTACAAGTCTCCTAATTTCTCTGCTTTCGGCTTCTTTCGTCTTTAGTGGATTCTCCACATAGTTGTCCAAATAATATTCATGACACACAGGTATGTCCATGCCACTCATATATTCAAAAATCTTCAGTGGCTTCCTATTAGCTCCACAGTAAAATACAAATTATTAACTTTAGTATTTAAACCTTTCATAATACGGCTCCCACCTCTGTTTCCATATTTATTTTATAGTATCTTTCTTCTCAAACAAAATTATCCCACTGGCTGTTACCCAAACTTGACATTTCATCTCCTATCTCTAAGCTTTTGCACAGGCCATGCTTATAAAACACACTCTCCTTAACCTCACCTCAAAATCACCAGCTACCTGAATCAAGGCTCACTTCAAACTCACCTTCTACAGGAAACCTCTCCTAATTTCCCCAGTTATTAGTGTTATCCCTCACTCCAAATTATCTCTGGTTTTCTTCTCTTTGTGCATGTTTTATCCTTAAGCTATTTTAAAACTAGGCTAAGTGTAGCTTTGTCTCTTTATCCCCAGTGTTTAGCACAGTATGTAGCTCACAGTGATTAATAAATGTTTGATAAATTGAATATGCTACCAACATAATGACTAGGAAAAATAATAGTCTGGCTTCAAAAAATTGTGTAATGAAACACCTAAGAGTTTACCTAGAGTTAAAAGACTTAAATTCCCATTAGCTCAAAACCATTAAAATTTACTACAGATTAACATTTTTACTGTGTATTTTAACTCTTATGATTACATACCAGCAGTTTCCCAATAATAACCGTCATTACAAAAAAGACAAGACATTTGCTTTGGCTTCCTGTATCCATGCAGTCCCACATAGGCTCTATCCATTCACCACAAAGCACTCGGAACATCATCAAAAAGGCATGGAGGAAGTCGTGCATGTGCCATCGTGGAAATGGACAGTCACCACCAGAGTTGCAGAAATATTCTTGGCAGCTGTCACCAAACTGCTGCATGCCGACCACCGCAAAAATGAACAAGGTGATGAACAATACCAATAACAAGCCTTGAAGGGCCTCCACAGAGTAAGCAATGATCTTTATCAGCCTTTCACACATTGGCCAGTATTTTGCCAATTTGAAAACCCGGAGCTAAAAAGTAAGAGGAAGAAATATAATTTTATTATCAAGTACAATTACAACTCTTTCATGTCCTCATAATTACAATTTCTGTAGTGCTAAAATATATGTAAATCCAAGATTCTATCCTTTTTTAATAAAACCTACTGAAAAACAACTTTTTTTAATGTTTCATACTTCATTAAATCTCAATTTTCATCTTCCTTTTGACTTCATTTTGCTACAAGATGACTATTTCCCATATTCCCTACTTCTTTGCATAGTTCAATCAAAACTGAAATGGCCATAATCAATAATCAGATCATTGGTGAGAACCCAAACACAGGCAGGAAAGCAACACCTCAGGGGGTATTTAAGTTTATTAAGCACAAATTTGAGAGGTACTGGGGCTTAACAGAGAGAGAGAGAGAGAGAGAGAGAGAGAGAGAGAGAGAGAGAGAGAGAGAGAGATGGCTATGGAATCAGGTGTACCTCAATTGAAATCTTGTCTCTGATACATTATGGCTATGTAACCCTGAACAAATCATTTAACATATCAGGGGACTCTTTAGGAGTACAAGTTTCAGAGAAGGTGCCAATCTCATTGTTAGAATAAATTGTTCACCGGGATCATCCTACATAAATGAAATCACAGTTTTGGTCAAAAGCAAGAGAAACAAAAAAAAAAGTGAAGGATATAAAGTTTTCTTAACAATATCCAGAAACTAGAAATGAAATAGCATTTGTTCTCATAGAATTCCTTATATCCCTTTTTGATTCTTCAAAGGATCTGTGATCTCACTCACACGAACATTTTTTCCAACAATGCAATTAGCAACCCATTAAGAGCTTCACATCTTATGTAACTCTTGCCTATATCCTCCCAAAACACTGAAATAGAAAGCAAGAAGAGTTCTCAGAATTATCAGTGACCCAGTGCTATATTCATGGCTTTCCTTATCTACTGCTCTTGTTCAGTTTTCTGCCATGTCTGACTCTTCATGACTCTGTGGACCATACTGTTCTGGGGTTTTCCTGGCAAAGATAATGGAGTGGCTTGCCATTTTTTTTTCTCCAGTGGGTTTAATCAAACAGAAGTTAAGTGACTTGCCCAGGGTCATGTAGCTAGTAAGCATCCAAGGCTGAATTTGAACTCAGATCTTCCTGACTCCAGGACCAGCACTCTATCTGTTGAGCTACCAAGCTGCTGTCTTCATTATCTACCTATCACGATTTGGAATGTTTAGCCCATCGCCTAGTTCTGATTCAAACCCACCATCCCCAGACTGATTAGTGAACTCTAGATCTCTGGCTCTTTTTGAGCATGAGTATCTGTACCTTCTCGGGTCTAACCTGCTTCCCTTTCTACCTCCCATCTTGATCCCTGGGCCTTGAATCAGTGCACTGGATTTCAGTTTCTTGACCTGCTTCCATAACCCAGGGATGCCAAGATGCCTATTTGTAGCAACCAAGTCCATAATGACTAAAATATATAAAATATAAAATTGGTTCAATTTGTACTTACCAGTCTAAATGATTTGAGAAATGACAAAGCAAAAATCTTTGCTATACATAGTTCTGCTAAAGCAAGTAAAACAATAAAGCTATCCAATATGTTCCAGCCTATTTGAAAATAATTACATGGATGTACAGCAATTATCTTCAAAAACATTTCTGCTGTGTAGATCCCAGTAAAGACCTAAACAAAAACAAGATTGAATGTTACTTTAGAAACAAAGACCTGAAATATATATATGTATATGTATATGTATATGTATATGTACCTATATATGCCATATATTTTTTCTGTTTCTGACATGACCTGGTTGTATAACTCTGTCATTTTATCTTTCAGGAATCAAGGCTATTGTCTAAGGATATAAGATGCAGAGAAGGTGCCAACTAGCATTGGCAGAAGACGTGTCCTTATTCAGGAGTTCCCTATCCTGACAAAACTACTGATCCAGTCCCTATTCCTAGGTGGCATCATTAATTATGTTACTTTATATTATAACAATATTTATATATAAATTATTCCTATTGTAACATTATTTCTATATTATATTGTTTATAAAATTAAGCTATATCTCCTCAGTGGTTTCTGCAGAAATTATACATATACATATACATACATATATATGTGTGTATGTGTGTGTATGCATATATGGCATATATTTTTGTATGTGTGTATACACACAGGGAGAGTTTAAGAGGATTAATATTTTCAAGACAGAGTCAAAAGTCCTAACTCCTCCATTTAAAATTTGATCTTTGGCGGTGGAGCCAAGATGGCAGAGTGAAAGCAGTGACTTGCTTGAGGTCTCCCCCAAATCCCTGTAAAAAAATGGCTCTAAACAAATTCTAAAGCAGCAGAATCCACAAAAAGACAGAGTAAAACAAATTTCCAGCCCAAAACAAACTGGACGGTTGATTGGTAAGGTATATCATGCCAGGCAGGGAGAGGAGTGCAGTATGGCATGGGTGTGCAGGCTGCAGCAAACCTGGAGCAGGCCTCAGAGGACTGATTCACAGGCAGGTGTGGAGGTTTCCAGACTTCTCAACCCATGAATGCCAAAGACAACTTAGAAGGTCAGTGGGAAAAGTCTGTGACTTCGGTGAGAGAAGAAGCTAGGTCTCAGCCACAAGACCTGAGCACTGCCTCTGGGGAAGCGGCTGCCTCCTGAGCTTCTGGCCCACAGACTGAGGGGGAATCAAGTGGTTGATCAGAGGGGGATTGCACGGATCTCTTTACCAGTGCTGAGGCAGGAATCTCTTGCTCTGCCCATGTTTGGATCTGGGTCACAGTTCTGAGGGGCAGTCCTGGGGCGAGGAGGAGTGGTGGCGTGGTGGAGCTTGTTGTGGTGGTGGAGAGGACACACATAGCCCCTTATCATAGCACCTTGGAAGAACTGAAAATTTACAGGTCCCTGGAAGTATCTCTGAAAACAGCTGTACAAACCCCCGAAGCTTGGGACAGTACATTCTCCACATTGGAAACAGACTCTTACCTTAACAAAGAGTTTAAAACTCAAGTAATTGTGCGGGATCATGAGTAAGCAGCACAAAAAGAGTCAGACTATATTATCTTACTTTTGTGACAAAGAAGATCAAAATATACAACCAGAAGAAGACAACAAAGTCGAAGCTCCTACATCCAAAGTCTCCAAGAAAAATATGAATCAGTCCCAGGCCTTGGAAGAGCTCAAAAGGGATTCTGAGAAGGAAGTAAGAGAAGTAAAGGAAAAACTGGGAAGAGGAATGAGAGTGATGCAAGAAAATCATGAAAAACAAGTTAACAGCTTGCTAAAGGAGACCAAAAAAAAAATACTGAAGAAAATAACACCTTAAAAAATAGCCTAAACCAAATGGCAAAAGATGTCCAAAAGCCAATGAAGAGAAGAATGCCCTAAAAAGCAAAATTGGCCAAATGGAAAAAAGAAGTCCAAAAGATTACTGAAGAAAATACTTCCTTAAAAATTAGAATAGGGCAACTGGAAGCTAGCGACTTTATGAGAAATCAAGACACTGTAAAACAAATCCAAAAGAATGAAAAATTAGAAAACAATGTAAAATATCTCATTGGAAAAACAACTGACCTGGAAAATAGATCCAGGAGAGAGAATTTAAAAATTATTGGACTATCTTAAAGCCATGATCAAAAACGAGCCTCCACATCATCTTTCAATAAGTTATCAAGGAAAAGTGTCCTGATATTTTAGAACCAGAGGGCAAAATAGAAATTGAAAGAATCTACTGACCTCCTCCTGAAAGAGATCCCTAAAGGAAAACTCCTAGGAATATTGTAGCCAAATTCCAGAGTTCCCAGGTCAAGGAGAAAATATTGCAAGCAGCCAGAAAGAAACAATTCAAATATTGTAGAAACACAATCAGATAACTGAAGATCTAGCAGCTTCTACATCAAGGGACCACAGGGCATGGAATATAATACTCCGGAGGGCAAAGGAGATCGGATTACAACCAAGAATCACCTACCCAGCAAAACTCAGTATAATCCTTCAGGGGAAAAAATGGTCATTCAGTGAAATAGAGGACTTTCAAGTATTCTTGATGAAAAGACCCGAGTTGAATAGAAAATCTAACTTTCAAATACAAGATTCAAGTGGAACATGAAGGGGTAAACAGGAAAGAGAAATTATAAGAGATTTATTAAGGTTGAACTGTTTACATTCCTGCATGGAAAGATGATATTTGTAAGTCATGAGACCTTTGTCAGTATTAGGGTACTTGGAGGGAAAATATTATATGTATGTAGATAGATATATATAGATAGATAGATAGATAGATAGATAGATAGATAGATAGATAGATAGATAGATAGATAGATAGAGGGCACAGGGTGAGTTGAAGATGAAGGGGTCATATCTGAAGAATAAAATTAAGGGGTGAGACAGGATTATACTAGGAGAAGGAGAAAGGGAGAGGTAGAACAGGGTAAATTATCTCACAAAAAAACAGAAAAGGCTCTTACAGTGGAGGGGAAACAGGGGAAGGTGAGAGGGAATGAGTGAATCTTATTCTCATAGGATTTGACTTAAAGAGGGAATAACATACACACTCAATTGGGTATGGAAATCTGTCTTACACTACAGGAAAATAGGGGGGAAAGGGGCCAAGAGAGTAGGGGGATGACGGAGAGGAGGGCAGATTGGGAAAGGGGGTAATCAGAAGCAAATACTTCTGAGGAGGGATAGGGTCAAAAGAAAGAATAGAAAAAATTGGGGGGCGGGATAGGATTAAGGGAAATAGAGTTAGTTTTTCACAGCATGTCTACTATGAAAGTGTTTTGCATAACTTCACATGTATAACTTATATTGAGTTGCTTGCCTTTTCAATGAGGCTGGGTGGGGAAGGAGGGAGGGAGAACATTTGGAATCCAAAGTTTCAAAACACATGTTTAAAAAAATGTTTTCACATGCAACTGGGAAATAAGAAATACAGGAAATGGGGTACAGAAATCTATCCTGCCCTACAGGAAAACAGAAGGGGAAGGGGATAAGAGAAGGGGAGTAGAGATAGAAGATGAGGCAAACTAGGGGAAGGGGTATTCAGAATGCATGCCATCTTGGGGTGGGGGGAGGGGCAAGATGGGGTGAAAATTTGGAACTCACAATCTTGTGAAAGTGATTGTTGAAAATTAAAAATAAATAAATTTATTAATAAAAAAATAAAATTTGATCTTTGACAAGTTCTTGTCTCAGTCTGTTTCCTCATTTATAATAATGGAAAAAAAAATACTTCTTAATTTGCCTGCCTCACAGAGCTTTTGTGTAAATCAAGTAAGATAGTACATATTAAATTGCTTTGCAAACTGTAAAGACCTATACAAAGGAGACCTGTTCATCAATTTTTGTTTGGGAATATACATAAAAATGCTGTAAGTCTAAAGCTTTTGCAATGACTGACTCCTAACTCTGGGTGTATACCAAATCTCTAGCCTGGACCTTCTTCTCTTTCTACATTCTTTCATTTGGTGACCTAATCATCTCTCCTAAGTTAAATTAGTGTTTCTATACAGATGGATCCCAATCCTTAGCTTTCAGTCTGAGTCTCTCTTGAGATCATCATTCATCACCAGCTGCCTATTAAATCTAACAAACTGGATGTCTAGAAGATATATCAGACTTAACATGTCCAAAATAGAGCTTGTTTTCTTTCCCCTAAGTCTGCTCATCTCCAAAACTCTCTTATTTCTTTCATGGGCATTACTATCTTTCTAAAACTTTCATATTTGTGTCCTCGGTGTTATTATGCCTCCTTATTCCATGTATATAGTCATTTGGAAAATTCTGGCCCTTCAACAAACACAATGTATCTCACATATATTTCCATCTTACTACTCACGCAGCTATCACCATGTTCAGGCCCTCTTGCATGATTTATTGAAATATTTTTTGTTTGTTTATTTTTGTATTTTATACTGTTTAGTTTTTTTTTTTGAAAATGTACTATGTCATAAGTATTATGTAATGAGTACTCTACATCATTTTCAAAGCTACTCTGCTTTCTTTGGTTCCTTCTAAATTTTCTTTTCTTCTCTGATGTACAGTTTTCATATTTTTCCCCTCCCTCCCCAACCTGCCTTTAGAGATGGCTACCACTGGACACAAACTTATGTGTGTGTAGAACCATACCATGTATACTTCTATTTTTTAGTTCTCTTGGAGGCAGATAGCATCTTCCTTCATAGGTCCTTTGTAGTCAATTTGAGTGTTTACAATACTCAAAATGATTTCTTTGCTCAAATTTTTTTTCTTAAAAATAACATTGCTGTTACTGTACACAACATTCTCTTGGTTCTGCTCATTTCACTCTTTATTATTTCATGCAAGTCTTTCCATGTTTTTTCTAAAATCAATGAACTCATCATTTCTTATTGCACAGTAGTATTCCAACGTGATCATATACACAACTTGTTTAGCCGTTTCTCAGATGTCAGACATCCCCACGATTTCCAGTTCTTTGCCACCACAAAGAGAGCTGCTATAAATATTTTAGGACATATAAGTTCTTTTCCTTTTTCCCCCAATCATTTTGGGAAACCTAATACTAATATTTCTGGAATAAAGGGTTTAGACAGTTTAAGAACTCTTTGAGCATAATTCCAGATTTCTCTGGATATATTCTCTGAGATTAAGTTCCTGCCTTCATTCTCATCAACAAAGAGGTGGTAACAAAACC